AATATTTCTTAAAAAAAATCCTAAGTTCAAAGAAAGATAAATCTGTAAATATTGCTTCAAGAGTTACGAATATTGTCACATAAAATGTAATTGATGATAAGGAATAAGTATTTGAAGTTTGCGGTAGATACCTTTAAAACTAAAAAAGTTATAGTAAAAAATAACATTTTTCTAGTAAAAAAAAGTTTATGGGGAGATAATTCTTGCAATATTTGTGCTAGAGTTATGAACCTTGCCACATAAGATGTGGATGATGATAAGTTACATATATTTGAAGTATGAAGTTGATCCCTTTAGAAATAAATAAGTAACAGTAAAAAATAGTATTTTTTAAGGAAAATTCTAAGTTCAAGGGGAGATAAATATGTAAATATTGGTGCTAGAGTTATGAACCTTGTCGCATAAGATGGGGATGATGATAAGGTACATATATTTGAAGTATGAGGTTGATCCCTTAAGAAATAAAGAAGTAACAGTAAAAAATAGTATTTTTTAAAGAAAATTCTAAGTTCAAGGGGAGATAAATCTGAAAATATTGGTGCTAGAGTTATGAACCTTGTCACATAAGATGGGGATGATGATAAGGTACATATATTTGAAGTATGAGGTTGATCCCTTAAGAAATAAAGAAGTAACAGTAAAAAATAGTATTTTTTAAGGAAAATTCTAAGTTCAAGGGGAGATAAATCTGAAAATATTGGTGCTAGAGTTATGAACCTTGTCACATAAGATGTGGTTGATGATAAGGAACATATATTTGAAGTTTGAAGTTGATACTTTAAGAAATGACAAAGTTATAGTGAAAAATATTTTACTGCACCAAAACTTTAATCTGAAATCTGGACGCGGACGTGGACGCCGGGGCAAGTAGGACAGCTCTCCATATACTTCGTATAGTCGAGCTAAAAAAGTGTGATGCCGACGTGAGTATACAATAAGTCAATTTATTATGCAGATTGTCTAAATATTTCTTAACTCTATCGCAGTCCTAAAATGCTTCGAAGACAGTCATCTAAAGAAGAAATACTAATACAAAGATGTTTCTTGAATTTTGCATAATCAAAGAAAATCATGATTGAAACAAAAGCATTAAAAACTTGGGGTCAACCATCTTACATTTTGCCCTGCACCCACCCACTCCTTCGCGCCAAGCACCTAAATCTCTTCATAATGAAAGTTCCAACAACTGAGCAATGTGGACAGATAATCCGTGTGTTGACAGCATTTCTGCACTACCGGAAATTACCCAACAGCTGTCAATCTTGATTTACCAGGACTGATATTTTATTGAATACAGTTCTTATTGTTTTATTTGTTTGCAAATCCACATTGAAAATATCATTTTGCTTTAACGGAGGAGGAAAACTCCATGTGCCCATGCGTGCATTATTTCAGGCACGAACAGTGACTAGGAAAGAAACACCGATCTTATGTGCCTTTATGTACTGTTCAAAATAAAATGAGCCGCGTCATGACAAAACCAACATAGTGGGTTTGTAACCAGCATGGATCCAGACCAGCCTGCGCATCCGCGCAGACTGATCAGGATCCATGCTGTTCGCTATCAGTTTCTCTACTTGTAATAGAGTTTGTAAGCGAACAGCATGGATCCTAATCAGACTGCGTGGATGCGCAGGCTGGTCTGGATCCATGCTGGTCGCAAACCCACTATGTTGGTTTTGTTGTGACGCGGCTCAAATAACAAATAAAACATTGTTCTAAACTGTATTGTATTTCTGGGCAAGGAAACCTGGATTATCATAAATAAGTAAACACGTTATATAGTTGACATTTTTAATAAACTTCAGTGACGTCAACATAACATTTTCATCATTGCATTTTAATTGTAAGAAATGACAAGCATACAATTCATTTCAATGAAATTTACAAAAACATGTACATTGAAATAAATATTTCGTTAAACAAAACATGTACATCTAAATCAAACATAAAACAGGTACCGTCATAAAAGAATGTCACCATCTACGGCTTTAATTACAAATTAAAGCCTGTATTATCTATACAAATTAAGGGTCAAATTATGTATATGTATATTGTAATTATATTAACTAAAACAAACAAAACTTTTCAGTACAATTGGCAGTGAATGTCACAAAAGTCTTATAAAGTATCAAGCAAGTTTACCATTAAGCAAATTTACCTTATGAAAAAAAAAAAACTTATTTGCTTATGTTCTGGCTTGTCAAATACTTCTTCCATTTGTAAGCATTGCATGTTATGTAAACTAGGGGAGGTAACTACAGTCATAATTTCAATGCAAAATTCAGAAACAAAGAAGTATGTTGAAAGAATTTTTTTTCCACATTGGTTTAACATTTTCATTATTTAAGTACACACTCTTGTACATCAAGTGTGTACATCATTTTGAGAGATAAACCAAACAGTTTTACAGGTAATTTTGAGAAAAAAAACATAAGTAACACTTTAAATCATAAATATTTAGTCTTGGGATTGGGAAAGATTCTAAAGTTGGGGATTTTTTTAAAACCCTCAAAAACTGTAAATAAAATAAGTAAATCATGAAAAAGTTTTAAAAAAGATAAAACAGCTTGTTTGTTTTTTCATTTTTCGCCTTTTTCCCCAAAAGTATTTCAGTCCTATAGGGGGGTATTTCCCAAACCAAACGTTCCTTTGGAAAAGTAAAAACCAGTACTAGACTTCCTTTCCCCCGCGGGTAAAAAATTCCAAAAAAATCTCTTGGGGGTCGAAAAAAAGCCAGGGGAGGGAACTGGTTAGAAGTCAAACGCTCTAACCCCCAAAACCCGGGGGCCGGGTTTTAAAAGGGAAAAAGCAATAATTTTCTAACAAATTTCTGTCAAATAACAAAAACAAAGTGTGCTAAACAAAAAGTTTTTATTTTACTGAAACAAAATTTATTTAAATTTTTTAAAAAAATTATTTAATAGTAAAATTTAAAAAATGAAAAAAATGCCCAAAATCAGTTAAAAACAAAACCTTTTTAATTTTTTCAACATTTTGAATGTAAAAAAGACTTCCAAATTTTACATTTAAAATTTTAAAAATAAAAACAACTTTAGAATAAAAAACAAAAACCCAAATTTTAACTTTAAGAAAAAATATTTCTAACTTTTCAATTTTTTTCTTTCAAATTTTCGCTTTCTTTTTGGGGAAAGTCCCCCAAAAATTTAAATAAAATAAAAAATTTAATTTTTAAAACAATTACATATACTTTGTTTAAAAAAAAAGTTTTTCTTTCTTTTTTCTTTATTTAAAACCAAAAATTTAATTTTAAAAACATTTTTAAAGTTTTGCCCTTTAAAATAAATATACATTATTTGAAAAAGTTCCCTATAATGTCACCCTATAAAAAATAAATTTTTTATTATAACTTTTCAAATTTTGGGGAACCAGTCCCTTACCCTTTCCCCTTCTTACTGCTAAAAAAACTGGGAAATCGGGAATTCCCGGGGACCCGGAAAACCCAAATTAAAAGAAAATTAGGGAAAATTTTATAGGCCCAAAAATTTGGTTTAAACAGATATTTTTTTAGAGCAAGTGGGTCAGTTTGACAAGGGTGAAAAGGCAGGGCATTATTAAAATTTTACCTTATAGGGAAAATTTTTGTCCCTAGATTTCATTGAAAGAATAAATTTGAAATATGATTTTGATTGTCTTTAATAATAAAAAAAACTCTGGAAAATTTGGGTTTTCCACCAAATTTAAAGAATGAATGGAAATTTTAAAAAAACACCTTTCAATTTATTAAACCCCTTCTTGCACAAATTTATTTAAATTTAGTATGATCTCCCTTTATTTAATAAAAAAAATGAAAATTTAAAAAATGGTTGTATACAAAAGAAAAATAAAAGGAAATTTTTATAGTGAAAATCAAATTGAAAAAATAAAGATATATTTTTTGAAAATAGCTCCCTTGGGGAAAGAAAAAATCAATTAATTTTAAACCCCCAAAAAAATTTCCCCCCAATCTGGGCTCTAAACCCTAGCACTACCTGAAAGGAGAAATTTTATGCTGCTGGGAAATATGCCCGCCCAAAGAAAAGACTGCTTCTAGCACTGCCTGGTTGCCGGCTTGGTGTCAGAGATGGAAGGTTAGCCTAAAAAAATTTTTGATTATTAAAAGATATACAAAATACTAATGATACAATTTTAAAAATAATTTTTTTTTACAAAAACCCCAGTAAACCCCATGTTTTGGAAATGTTTTTGTCCCAATTTGCATATAAAAGAAAAATTTGGGTTTTCCCCCAAGGATTTAAAAAATCCAAATATGGGGTGATACCCTACAAAGGGTTTTTTAAATGAAAAAAAATAAAAAAAAATTTTGGTAACAAAATTTCCTTTTTAAAAATTAAAACATAAGCACAAATGAAAACACCATTCCCGTTGAAAAATACAAAAAGTAACAGGGCCCCGCCAAAAATCGGGGTGAACTTTTAGTTGCCTCCCCTAGTTGCTGCCCTTTACAGTTTTTTTTGAATTTTCTCAACTTTAAAGAAAAGCGGAAAACTTTTTAAAAAAAAGATAAAAAAAAGGGGAAAAGAAGTTTTGTAAAACAAAGATTTTTAAATAACCCGGTGAATAGCAGAATCTTTCAGCTTGTTTGTCACATTTTTATGTCATTTTCAAAATAATTATCTTTAGGCCATACCTTGATGGCTAGACCATCCAGAAAGACAAACAAAAATATACATCTAAAAAAACTGTCAATGAATCAATTTTTTATTAAATTTTTATCCTTTCTTTTCTTTCAGTATAAAGGGGAAGAGCTTCATCTTTAACTATTTACCAGCTAAAACTTCTAATCGTGTAAAACTCTCAAATCAATAATAAAAACCTTTTACCTTACATATTATATTTCATTCACCTGTAATCCTTCAATCATAACATTACAATTTTCATATCCTACAAAACCATGATTTGCAAGACAAATTTTCTCGAAATATTTTCTCTGCTACAGCACAGGCTGCTGTAGAAGAACATAACTTAAACCACTAAATGAAAACCTTAGAAATTTACAAAATAAAATTAAAATGAACAGTTTTCACAGAGCATTTATCAATACTTACTTCTTCTGGAGTTTCACCTTTTGCCTTCTTTGCAGATCTCAATTCTTTAGCATATCTTAGATTCTGTAACACAGGAATACATCAATTTAACATAAAAAAGTTTCAAATAACTGCAGTAGCTAATACGAGAGGAGCACACGACAATGTCGGAACAAGTTAAAAATTTTTTATTAAAACCTACTAGTTTCGCATATGTACTACCCTTTTTTTTAAAACATTTTGTTACCTGTCACACTGGATAAGTTGTTATTTTTTTACAACTGACACACTCCTGCACATTATCCAAACAGTTACAAACACATTTTTACATTTCAATTCATTTATCTGTTATATTTAACACATGTTTATGTAATATCATGATACATTTTCTTCAAAATGGTTCAAATTTTAAACATAGCTTCATGATTGGTCAAAAATGCTCTTACCTGTTTTGTTACTCTCTCCAGTTTTGCTCTCTGGTCATCAAGCTCTTTGTTAAGCTGTAAAATTTTGTTCTGAAAAAAAAAAAATTGTGTGATAACATCGCATCAATTAAGTAACAAAATAACAATGATAGAACAAAAATACTTAGTACCAAAGGGTACATAACTGTATATACAAATCAACAAATTGTGAAAAAAATTAAAGGTGGCCTGGGTTTTGATATTTTGTACTTAATCAATGGAGTTTTTCAAAAGCTATTTGGGAATAGAATGAAAAGTGTTCAAAAATAGAATGGCACAATACCATAATTATATTGCTTTCTTTTATGCTACTTCATGTATATAACAAGAAGTAATCAATGACAAAACCCTAGACAGTGCTTTAAATTACTTCAACAGCAAATCGTATTATGCTTTAACAAACTTAGTCTAGTTTACTTGAAGGTTGTTGTGGCCAAGTATGAAGACAAGACACCAAGATTTTAAAAAGTTATGATCAAGGTTAAAGTTTGCGGACTGCAACGGGAACGCCACAATGACTGTAACAATACCTATATATTTTTTTCCTCGAAAAAAAGTCGAGCTAAAAAAGAGGGGACTGGCCACTTACTTTCTTCTCTTCAACCATCTCTACATAAGCGTCCTCATCTCTATTCAGATTATCTAGTGTATTACTCATGGTCTGTAAATCTTCCTGTAATTCTCTCATCTGTCGTCTCTTATACTTGTACTTGTCCATCACAGCCCTCATCTGTTCATCTAATTGTTGTTTCTCCTCCATTTCATCACCTGATAACATAAACATAAGTTTAAATATATTCATTTAAGGCTTTAAGCTCAATTGTGAAAAAAGTTCGTGACTTATATCAACCACTTTCCAGTCCACTTCCTGTAATAAACTTATACTGATGTCATATGAAGAAACATGGCCGTGACCTAGTAGAGCTAAAACCCTTTATCCCTAGGGTTAAGAGACAGACAACCTTACCACTAGGCCTCTGTATTACATTAATTAAACATGAAACTCTTATACCCATGCCAGAATTGTCTCCAAATTTTTTTTTACATATTTAAAGATAAAATTGAATCCAAGTCAAATTCTCTGGAAAATAATCTAAAAATGAAAGGATTTTTCTTTTTAATTTCTATAAATAAACATTTACTCTTTAACATATATTTAATACATATCTACACTCACTGGCATCAGTAACTTTATTAAAGCTTTTCCTGTAAGTTTCATTTCTGTTGTTCATGAGCTTAAGTGTATTTTCCAAGGCCCGGATTTCTTTCTCGGCCTTTCTGATTCTAGCATCCAAATCATCACCTTCACGCTGTAACTCTTCCTTCTCCTGGGCAGCCTGTTAAATTTATAACATGTAAAACATAAGCTACAATATACGTTGTATATCATAAAAAAACAACCACATAAACATTAATTGAAAATTTTTCAAAAACGAAAAAATAATACATGCACAAGCATGATCTTTGCTTATTAATTTGAGGTATATTTAGGAAAGTCAGAAGTGGCCTTTGTTTTCTTTTTGAAATTTTCTAACAAAATTATACAGTAAGAAAAACTAGATCTGCTCAGTTATAGTACTGCCTAAAATAGGGTCTTTGAATACATTTCCTTTTACAGATTAATACACAAAATGTTAATAATATATCTAGCTTAATGACGCTTGTAATAAATTCATCATGGTACTTCAGGAGGTTGACTAGTTAGATTTATTAACTTCTGACTGAACACAATCTTTAAAAATGTCAAACTGAGAGTATTAAAGAAATATGAGAAAACGGGGAAGACTTGATGATTTTTTCAGAGATATGTAAAAGGAAAAGAATATACCTTGATAACATAGTAAGCCTGAGATCTCTCCTCTTCACCTTCTGGTGGAGCCATGGATACCATTAATATCTCATACCTGTAATACAATATATTTAACATGGTGAGTAAGTTTTCAGATTTAAGTCACAAAAGTGTTAGAGTAGAACCTCTAGACTCTTCCAGAAATCATGATCACAAAGCAGAAAAAATATTTTTTAGTCTCATTCTAAGTTTTCTAAGTATCAGATTGCACAAACAATTCAAGCCATTATTATTGACATTAAATTCTGCTATAAAAGATAAAATTAATAGATGCATTTATATAATAATTGCCTTGCAGATATCATGGTAATCTGAATATGTGCTATTTTGCCTAATTAGTTGCTCGAGTTTTGGGGTCAGTCATGTAAATTTTATGGAAGGGAGGACAAGAGAGCAGATCCATTCGAGAAGTAACCAGTGCTTGTGTGGACAACATTACATGGTATTTTTAATTTATATCACATTAGAAATCACAAATTGATCTAGATGAAGAAGCCTGTGCTTACACTAGCAATTTGAAGTCAGTCAGTGCATTTGTAAATGCACTACTTCAAAATACCTAATTTGGGAGGCTAATTATTTATTAATCAATCATACAGTTACTCCTTAATTGTTTGGAATGCATTAGCATTGCCTTATGATCGTACCTTTTCCTGAGTTTATCAATTTTGGAGATTCTCTCGTGTAATTCTGCACTAATCTGTTGTCTCTCCTCATTCACAGCTCTAACCTGGGCATTCAACATTTCCTTGTGGATGTTGATCTCCTGGTGACGCTCTTTCATTGCCTATATAACAAATACAGCAAAACTTTCAACAATAATGTTGGTTGTTTAATTAACCTTTTGTCATTTTACATTTTCGAAACAGACAAATCTTGCATTATAAAAATTAGTTCCAAATCACATGTACATTATATGATGAACACCAAAAAGTCTATTGTCCAAACTATATATATTCACTATGCAAAATTTACAGACAAGTTTTTTCTTATATGCTTTCTTTATAGAGAGGCAACATTTGTATCAGGTTTGTATATAATAGGCAAGAACTTACAGTTTCAAGCTGCAGTCTTCTCTTCTCCAGTGTGAACACCTCGTCAGCTCGCTCGTTAAGCATGTCACGTAACCTCTTCAACTCCAGCTTCAAGATGTTCTGATCCACCATAAGGTCTTGTTTTGATGTGATAATTTTCTTGAGCTCACGCTCAGAACTGTCGTTGTAGAGGTCGAGCTCTTCAATCTTGCTGGTAAGGTCATTCTTCTCTGATCCATTTTTCTCCAGCTCCCTGCTCACTCTTCTAATATCATCCTATAATAGGAAAAACAACTGTATAATTAATCCCTACTTATGCTTGTTATAGATAATAGACTTGTTCAACTTTCAAGTTCGAAACTGTCCATTGTGAGTTTGAAGAAATTAGAAAAATAAAATATCAAAAAACTCTAATTAAATATCTCTCTTATTATTCATCTTAGATAATGAATCTAAAGTGTTTTTGTCTTTCGCCGCTGATTCAGAAATGTGGGATCAGTAGTCTGTCACTTTCAAAGAAATTGGTAAATAATGATTAATTTTCTAGTACAGATTGTTAGGCGGACTGACCGCTGAGACATAATTAAAAATGTGTTGAAATATGCATAAACCAGACTTACAAACACAATAAAAAAATGATTACTGGAATTATTAAAGTAACATTAATCTATATGAAGCCAAATTTGTGCCATTCATATTGCACTACCAAAATAAAATGTAGCACAAATCAGCCACCATAGACTACCAATATACTGGAGGTGACCATACCTGTAATCTCTTGAGCTGCAGTGTAAGTAGGGTGTGGGTGTTATTTTTCTGCTCAAGTTCATCTGTCAGATCTTTTATCTTTGCTTCAAGATGTATCTTCTCCTCGTTTGACCTTTCACCCTGCATTCTGTTGATACGACGCTCCAATTGTTGAATAGAGAAATCCTAGAAAACAAAAACAACTGTACTGTAAACCTGATTTTCATATATTATTCTCTAATTACTAATTACATAGAACAAAGGAATTTGAGCTCCAATAGAACAAAAGAATTTAAACACCAACTGAACAAAAAAATTTGAACTCCAAACATTTTTTTTGTCCTGTATTTCAATAAACTTTTCTTTCCCATTTGTGTATGATGGCCAATTTCCATTTATCTAAGATAAATATTTAGCTGAAATACTATGTGAAATCGTTATTTTAATCAAATTTAAACAACTAGTCACCTTCTCATAAAAAAAAAAGTTAGTGGTTTAAACATATTTATTTAAGCCTGATTGTGAAACAAGTTCTTGCAACTTATATTATTCACTTCGAGTCCAGAAACATGGTCATGACCCAATAAGGGCTTGAACCCATGATCCCTGGGTTGAGAGGCAGACACAATAACCACTAGGCCACTGCCCGTAAAAAGTTTGTAGCAAGAGATGAAATTATAAATTACCTGATTATAAATGATCTCCTGTTGTTTGAGGGAGTCTGTATCCAGCTTGGAAATTTTGCTGTTCAAGTTTCTAATTGCAGCCTGACTTCCCTGTAAAATATATAAATTTAAAACATGTTTTCTCAGAAAACCTTACAGATTTCATTAAGTATATTCTTCAAAATTCTAAAGATAGGAAGACAAATCATTAAGCAGTAAATTGATTGAAAGTGTCTTTTTTGTCAGTTTTCATGCCATCAATTCATATCTATGCTATCTTCAGAATTCACTAGCATCTTTTCATTTGTAAAATGAAAATGTATTGTTGTATTCACTGCATAAAATAAAGTAATTTTAACAGTAACTGATGCTGAAGAGCATTTAAAATAGCTGATTCTACGTAGAATAAAAGTTAATGTTCTTTTAGCAAAAGTAAACAAGTGCATGAAAACACAATTAACAAATGTATTACAATAATTTCCGCCTCATTATTTCGCTCTTTTGTCTGATGTTCATGAAGTTCTTGCATCTTTTTAAACTGAAGGTCTCGAAGATATTTCAAATCCTGATCAATGTCCTTCTGACGTTTATCTTCATCATCTAGAAGCTCGTCCATGCGAGCAGCTCGTTCCTCGGCACTCAAGTTCGACTCTGTTGCAATCTTCAGTTTCTCTACTAGGGTCTCTCTCAAATCTTTGGCTTGTCTTAACCTGAAAATTACAGTCATGTCTTATAAAACCACATCAAACTAGTACCCTGAATTTTTTTTAAAGGGAACATACATTTGAAGAATAAAAAGGGTTCTGCTTTTAAACATATTATTATTATTATTATTGATTATTTTGACTTTATATGAACTCAACACCATATAAATATATAAAGAAGGATATTGATAGTGTTAATTATCAAGAAATACTTAACTGACACTGTGCATATCTTTCTTTATATTTTCATGTGTTGTGTAGTTCATATTAAGTCAAAATGATTAAATTCAGAACTTAATTACATCCTGAGAAAGTGATGACAAAATATATATTCAAATCTTGAAACTTTACAAAACTGTTTTATAAATATCAAGACATCATAATTTACAAAATATACTCTTGAAGTTTGTTTACCTGTTTTCCTTATCAACAACATCTTTCTTGAGTTGTGTGACCTGTGACCTTGTAGCTTCAAGGTCAGTTACAGTTCTATCCACCGTTCTCTTCAGGGCATCAAGCTGCAATGTAATATACATAACATGTTATATAAAATGTTTTGAATTTTTAGGAATAATTAAGTTTATAGCTATTAATAGTACACATAAATAAATAAGGTCCCCGCTGATTCAGTGTTGAATAGAAATTTGCTTAGGCTGAGGATACAAACCTAGGGTAATTTCGGATTTATAAATATTTTTGCAACTTCGAAGCTTGAATTTCAGATTACAGTAAGGAAATGTTAAGAATTTCTTTCATACAGGTATTTTGGAAGAAAATTCAAAATGTATTTCCGACTACTACATTTTCATAGCTTTATACACTATAAACTTCGAATGGACTATTCCAAATTCAAAACAGAGCAAAATGTTTTCAATAAATTTTGCAGGTTAATGGTTTAAAGTGAACCAAATAAAATCAAATCAAACTTACCTCATCATGGAATTGTACTCTCTGAGTTTCAGCCTCCTGGTAGTCGGAGCGTATACGAGCTGCAGTCCTCTCAGCTATGGAGATTTTCTTCTCCTGCTCACTATTATTCTCAATCTCATTATCAAGAAACTGCTGTTTCTCTTTAATTGTCTCTTCCCTTTTACGAACCTCTGCTTTCACTCTTGCAAGTTGCTGCAATATAATTTTTTTGGAAATGAACATTTTTTACAGACTAACTTGTCATTCTATAACTTTATTTTGTTACTTTCTGCATTCTACGTTATTAATTTCTGAAGAATAACTTTTCTTCAAAATCAGTTTAAGGTTGTTACAAACAAAAATAATACAAACAAAAATTATCTACCCTTTTTCTTATGGTTAAATGATAAGTTGGCAGCAACTAATTTTAACAAATAGTTAAGAGCAGGGAAGGTCTCAGAGATATCACACGTCACCACCTAATGGATTAAGATGATTTATTACAGTGGACTAGTTTTGATCATAAAAATGATCCATCAGGACAAAATTGGTTGAAAAATTATCCTTGAAGTACTCTGACATAGATGATCATTTTTGAAACCAAATTTTAATTCAACCAATATTGTTGAAGAGTCGAATATCAGAATACCAAGTTAATACAATTAAAACACCAGAAAATGTCATTGATTAATATTGTAAGAAAACAATCTTACAGCAGCAAGTAAATCCATCTCCTTGTCTCTGCGTTGCATTTGTTCTATTGTATTCTCCCACTGTTTAATCAGTTCTTGACGCTCCTGATGTGCCTTCCTGAAATCTTCAGCGGTTTTATCAAGTTCAATCTGAAATAAGAAATCATTTTATTACACCATTTCATTGCTCCTATCATAATAACTGCTTACCAATTAAATTAAACTTAATAGATACAACTATTTAAATCAAATTTTATACAAAGAAATTCTCTGGTGAGAAAAATGCTTTGTAAGTAAGCAAACATCTACAAAAAAAAAACAACAACAAAACATTGCCACTTGTAACTTGCATTGAACTTATCTACTTACAGTATTCAAAATGAATTGAAAATAATGTTACTAATATATTCTGTATGTTCAGACACCATATTGAATATATTTTTGCCCAATATATAATGTGTTGTTTTTTTAAATTTATTTATATTGCAGTCAGTTCACAAATTATGCAACAAAGAAACCTTCATATCAATTAATATAAGAATACCGTTAAACAATGCTAGTAAAATAACATATGTACAGACCTGGGCAGTGAGAGTTGATGTTGTTTCATGGTCCAGCTGCCTACGTTTCTTTGCTGACTCGTCTGTCAGACGCTCCATACGTAGAGACAATTCTTTAATTTTACTCTCGTCATGTCGGGAGTATTTCTGAATGGCCATGGAATCTTCATCTTTTCTTGCTGACTCCTCCAGCCAAGCTTCAAGGGCTTGCTGATCCCAGTTCATCTGAGATTTCATCTCCTCAAGTTTCTGGGTCTGCTTGAAGATGTTGTTCTGGGAAAAAAACACATTACATATTAAAATAACATAAAAACACAAATATCTCTTGTAAATTCTAAACTCCTGTACAAAAACGGCTTGTTTAGAACATAATTTGTTAATAAATACAGGAATGGTAGATGACGAAACCCTTAACCTAACAAATTTCATTGTCTTGTACAGAGCCTGGTCAGACAGTACTGATGTTTCAGCTGTCCTGATTCTATACTGGTGACAAAGAGTATATCGCTTTCCATTCCAGCAGAACAAGGTTTACAGACAAATTTTTTTTTACCAAGTTGTCAAACTAAAAAAAATGAATGTGACTCTTCAGATACATATTTGTTACCAAAACTCAACTGGAAGAAGTATATTAGGAGAAACATAGAATAAAATCAATACCTCAAACACATTTTTCCTTTCTTTCAATTCTTCTACTTCTTTTTCTAATTTCTTTATCTCTTGTTTCAGTCTCCCTTCCTCCCTTTCAGCAATTGTAAGGAGGTGACTTTCTGTTTCAATTTCTTTCCTCCTTGCCCCAACAAGCCCCTGAAAATAAAATTAAATATAAACTCAATGTTATCACAACTGTTCTGCCTTTACAAAATTGATATTTGAAGTATTTAAATTTTAAAGGTTCTTACAAAGCTTTAGGCATTTAGTAAAACAATAATTCAGAGTTTTAGATGTATAGGAATTAACTAGGAATAGTCCTATTTAACAACAATTCTATATTGCTTTTTTTCCATTTCTTAATTTAATCTATGTTTTTTTTTCAGTGCAGATTTTGAAACTGCTTTTAAAATTTTGCTGGAGAAGAAATCTCAAAAGCAGTATTCAGTCAATAAGTTCTCCCTAGTTGTCTCTTGAAAACAATTTATTTAGAGAATCATCAATTTTACTTGCTGAGGAAAGACGAACTGAAAAAATTTGGTATCTCATTATGACTCAATTACTTCATGAAAAAAAATCAAATTTAACCTAACAGTTAAACCTAATGATTATAACAGGGTTCATACAGACCATCCAGGACAAAATTCAAGGACTTTTTCACGTATTTCAAGGACTAAAATATGTGACACACTAAAGACAAATATGTGTAAAAGGGCGACAATGTATGAAATTAGTGTTTTACATGCAAATACCTGTTGAAGTACTATCAAATTTATGAAGTTTTTTCTAAGTGTGCAAGATTTTGCAGTAGTTGCTTCAGAGGGTGGGAGTGGTATTGTCAGATTATTGTTATTGTCATCTTTATTCAAGATAGTACTTGCACCTAAACTGAAGAAGCTAGTTATATCCTGATTACATTCTCTCACTGTTGTGAATTGTTTGTGTTTCTCACTTTAATGTGTGATTTTATAGCACTTTCACCCATTCCTGAAACGTCTATAATCTTATCACAAGCGCTACACATTGCCTTTTTTTTAATCACCCTTGAATTCTTTAATGAAAGGGTATTTTTCTACCCATTTTGGCGAGAAATTACACTTCTTCATTTTTTGATGAATAACCCAAACCGGTCCGTGAAATTTACACGTCATGAATATTTCAATCGTGTATAAAAGCCGATACCCGTTCCGTACCGTCTTACTTTCTCGTTATGAAGTCGTTTTTTTTAAAAATTGATGTATATTTGAGTTTTCTTTTGTTTGTTTTGTTTGTTTTTTGGCCGCTGTTTTACTCATTTTAGTCGTTTTGTGGTACTTAATGAAGAATTCGTGAATTATTGAACAAAATTCTCAAGTTTCCTGTAAAATTCAAGGAGTTTTCAAGGACTTTTTCCCTGGACAAAATTCAAGGAGTTTTCAAGAACTAACCACCAAATTCAAGGACTTTTCATGGCCTGTGCGAACCCTGTATAATTTTAGATTTGTTTACAATTTATATGAACAGCTGGAAAACTAAAATACCTGTGTATGCTGAAGTTCTTGTCTAACATTTTTGAGATGTTCAGACATAGCGTGGATTCTGTCTTCAAACTCTTCCAAGTCATTGCGAACATGCACAATATTTCTTTGCTTTGTTTGAACCTAAAGATAACAAAAAAATAATATAAAAATACATGAATTTTTCAAACAAATTTGATTATCATAATCACACAAAGTGTTAGCGAGTTATATCAAAACATTGCCTATGGTATAATTAAATAAACAAATAAATTTTGTATTATAATAATAAATCTGTATTAACTGCTTGCATCACTTTTAAAAATATCCAACTGTTTTGTTTTTGTTTTTCTTAACATCGAGACTTTGTGACCTACACAGTAAACAGAGATAAAAAATTACACTTGTCTGCCCGTAATTGCATGTAAAAATTAAGAGAATTTGATGCAGGACAAGTAGAAAAATGTTGCCTGCATATTTGATTTAGAAGCTACTTGTCCTGCAGGACAAGTGACTCTGAAAATATTTTTTGATGCCAGCAGTAGCGGCTTTGACTCTGAGACATGCACCTGACGATTCATGCAATACAATTTTTAGAAACCAATTAATGAAGAGAATAATATACCTGTAAAGGTAAAACATTATATTTTTGAAATATATTATTTATTTTAAAAATTACTAGATCTAAAGCAGGTGCACTGTAAGAAATTAGGATTTGAATCCACTAGACTGGTCGGACTACCAATTTGAAATATTCACTAGCCCAAAATACATTTCACTGGCACGATTCATTCGTTCAAAACACTTGTTTAAATTGCCTCTGAGAATACAGTAGCCCGGTCGGGCGTGTTACTGTGAAAAGTTGGTAGCCCGAGGAGAAATTAAGTAGTCAGGGGCTATAGGACTACTGCTAATTTCGAACACTGCAGGTGCATAACTTTTTTATATTGAAGTTTTGTTTTGCTTAGATTCTTTTCAGTAACAAAATTACTGGTAAAAAGGTTTAAGTAGCAAACTTGACACATTTTTTTTCGGATTTTATTATCAGAACCCAGATAAACGCATAAACCTTAATATAACAGACAATATAAAATCGTGAAAAAATACCCCACCCACTGTAAAAATTTCAGATTTAACGTGTCCGTACCTCATCTTCCAGCGACTTGTTCTCGCTGTTCGCAACGGGCATGCTAAGCCCCTCATCCCAATCTATCTCACTCAAAATACTCTGGTTGTCTCTGCTTCCGCGACTCATTTTTGTGGTTTATATTTTTAAAGAAATAAAGTTTGTTTACAATGCCGACATTTGTTTTGATATTACTCTGGATACAAAGTGCCCGTATGTAGCAGGGGAGGTAATTTTTACGATTCGTACTTGAAACTGTTCGAGTTTTTATTTTAAGATCAAACACCACTAAATATATACATCTCGGGTTATAACATATATATGTTTTGTGGTAGTCATGACAGACATGCATAGATCATGATATAAATACACCATGCCCTTTAATAAAAGAGTGCAGTGAAGTTGTAGAGAAATGTTTTTTTCTTCATCTTCAATTCATAAGGATTAATATTGCAAATATATAGTTTATTATTTAAACAGGCTTTAAACTAATTGAATTTGCCATAATCATTTTTGCACTGCCCTCAGCTGCCTTCAAGGGTATTCATTTACAGTATTAAGTATAAGCAAACATTAATGAAAATTCACCATTATTGAAACATAAAATGATTTATATTTGATTCTTCTTTTTTTCCAAAGTATTTTCATATATTTGACACTATTTAGCATGATTTGGAATCTTTTCCCATTTCCTTCAACAAAAAGATAGGTTATAATGTATTTTATAAACATTTATAAGTGAAAAATTACCATCACTCATGTAGTTCTGAGAAATGTCTGTACAAAATAATGAAATGTTAATGAGAAATGTGGCAGTGAAAGGGTTATGGTCTGAACACCTGGTTAGTTTTGTACTTGATAGGTCATTTGTCAATGTACATATTTAAATGTATTATGGTAGTATACCCCTAATGCATTAGCTCCACTTTTAAGAGTATTCAGATAGGCTAGAATCAATGTCAATTGCATTTAAACTGAGGGGCGTGGGTTCAAAGCCCAGAAAGGGCAAATTTTATTTTCCTTTTTTTTTCGTTCCAACATTATTCATGTATCTCTCATAGCCCTTTATATAAGAAAAGTGTTTAAACATTTTGTTTTCAAAAAATGAAACGTTCTTCAAATGCCAGGGCTGGATAAGCAAGTACAATGATTTATCAGGGGAGTCAGAGGTCAAGTCTTCCAAGTTTTCTTATTGAATCATTTACCCACACCCATAATTATGGATTCTAATCCTTCCAGGGATAAGTATATTATTTATTTTGTCAGGTAGCATCAGCTAACCAGAAAGAAAATATTAAATTTCCTAAAAACCCATTTACAATTCATAAAACAAGCATGCAGTTATTGTAAGAGAAACCAATATAAGACAAATGAGATAACGAAGTAGTGGTTTAAAGCTGCATACCTCCAGATGAGCCGTTTTTTAAGAGATCAACCTTGAGAAAAAATAACTTAAGATTTCAAGAAGAGTAAAAAATATTTGCAATGCAAGAAATAACTTTCATGTTGTATGCGATATAACTAATTTTGCAGTGTTCATTACCGTATTTCTAGTCAGTTTTTTACTAACAGTCAAGGCTATTTTTACACATTCTGACTTACAGTATTTTTTTTGTAATTTTCAGAGATTTTAAGTGCCCTTTAAAAATGTGTATACTACTTCCTTTTTTCACTCGACAATTTTTTACTTTTAAATGTTTAAAAAAATTCATGAATCTGTAAGCATCCTGCTTTGAAAGGAAATTGAAATACTACATTGAATTACTATGCATTGTATGGTGCATGTCCAAAATATTTTAGCTTTTTGTATCCTAGAGACTTATATGGCTGATTGAACAATATTTCAGCAATCACTGTTTACAAACCTTGGCTTAATTTCTTCTAAAGTTATTGAGAGATTATGGATTTTTCATTATCTCTGTGACCTTTGATCTTGAAGTAAGCAACTACTGGCCATGGGTGATGTCTCCACCATGTTTCACAAACTAAAACCTTATTACAGGGGATTTACTCATTGTGACCCTGACCTCATTGCCTCAATATCTATTGGGGTCATCTGGTAGCCATGGGCTATGTCCCTACCAAGTTTCAAAAGTCAAGACTTATTCTTTACACGAAGTGTCAATATGACCTTGATCCCAAAATTGTTAGGGTTCAACAAATGGTCAGAGCAAATCTCCCAATAATTAATTATTAAATAATGGATTTACGTTGTTTTTTTTTCTTTTTCATAAATGGATTTACAAATCGTCACCTTAGTGCAGTAATTGTTTAACTATATAAGAGTTAATCTTTTACTGCACTAAGGTGAGAAAATGATGCAAATTCATGCTACAAGCCTCAAACAGTATATACAAACAAGTAAGGACAAACTCCCCATTGTGTTTAGGAAATACCAGCAACAATATATCATCTTTTAAAAACATTTTATCATTCAATTATTACATTGCTTATTCATAATAATTACTTATATAGACAAATATACAATTCTTTCAAACACAAATAATAAACTTAACCAGTATTGTTAAAGCTTAATACCGCTATATTCTAAAAATATAGGTGAATAAAATCAGATCACAATACAACTTGTGATAAATAATTTCATTGTCTGTCATAGTAAATTTAAATTGTTTAAAAACTGGCATGGTACCCTGCTATATCTGTACAGTGTATCTATCATTTTTCATCTTTCGTATAAATGTAAGTTTGTTTTAAAAACCAATACAACTACATGTAGCTAATGTTTTTTTAACAGTGTTACAGTTTAAAGATTTTTTTTTTATTCCAGAACATTTCAGCATTCAATGTTAGTTACAGGTTTTTCATTATAAGAAAACAAGAACATTTCGATATGAACACATATGGTTTAAGAACATAAATGTTCATGCTGTATAAAATCATTTTTTATCCTCGGAACACTGAATGTGTTTAACCATACACAAGTAAAAGAAAATATAGCAGACTTAATCATATATCATATTTAGATCTTGAGAGAGAAGCAAACTGCCAGGTATTTGATTAAAAAAATAACTACCATAGAACTAGATTAAGAAGATTTGCATAAAAGACTTAAATTTCATTTTTGTTGTTTCCGTACCCGGTTAAAATCTCAATTCAGAACAACCGGATTCAAATCTCGGCTCAGAGCAACCCCGATTCAAATCTTGGTTCAGAACAAACGAATGTCTTCTTTTAAAATCATTATTTGAGATTTATTTATTGCCAGTCATAACACATTGGTTATATATTGTAAGACACTGCTCGACTTTCATACTGGTCAAATTTCACTGTAAAACATTACTACATAAAACACGTAGGTATCAAGATTCTTTGTGATGAGATGAATAATTTACACAATGGGCGATGAGATATAAAAACGTGACTAGAGCTAGTATCACGTCCTCTCTTTCTTTTTGATTGGTCTTTTACTCATATGTTTTGTGATGATTTCTGAGATTTTAGGTTTGTGGTCTAGCACTTTCAACATTTGAGCTTTAGCATCGTTCAATTGATCTGATATTAACTTGCACCTCTGAATGTTGCCCTGAAAAATGGATAGAAGAAATTGTAATACAGTAAAATACACAGTAAAAACTATGTAAATATAAATGCCTCAAAATTGTACAAATCAATGAAAGTTACAAAACACTTTTATCATAATTCTATGAGCAGAAGATGATGAATAGCTTCCATTTCCACAACCTATCATCACCCAAACATTTACTGAAAAATATGTCCCCAAATAAGGAAAAATCTATTATAAACTTGCAAATTCATGCTAGCCGATATAATGCTATCAGAGCTTTAGGGTTGAATGTTGATGTGTTTTATGTCAATATCAAATGGTGACTTTCTGTCAGTTCTTACTAGTGTAAGGATACCAAAGGTCACCAGTACACATCATTGGATGATTTCAGACTTTAATGGACACTGAGTAAAATCTGTGACCTTGAGTAAAATCTGTGACCTTCCTTAAACCATCATAGTAAGTGTTTAATAAATAACATTTCTGGATTCCATAATACAGCAGTGAAGGTCATCAAGTGTTTTTAAAGCTTCATGCTTAACCCACTAAGTCATGAAGATTCATGCATAACCTACTAAGTCATACAAAATGATAAAGCGGGGAAAAAACACATCATCATGGGGATGATTTGAACAGACGACTTGTGGGAAGTCAATATTTTGTGTATTTATAGATCACTCAATATTGTTGTATATAAATAGATCACTCAATATTGTTGTATATAAATAGATCACTCAATATTGTTGTATATAAATAGATCACTCAATATTGTTGTATATAAATAGATCACTGAATATTGTTGTATATAAATAGATCACTCAATATTGTTGTATATAAATAGATCACTCAATATTGTTGTATATAAATAGATCACTGAATATTGTTGTATATAAATAGATCACTCAATATTGTTGTATATAAATAGATCACTGAATATTGTTGTATATAAATAGATCATTGAATATTTTTGTATTTAAATAGATCATTGAATATTGTTGTATATAAATAGATCATTGAATATTGTTGTATATAAATAGATCATTGAATATTGTTGTATATAAATAGATCATTGAATATTGTTGTATATAAATAGATCATTGAATATTGTTGTATATAAATAGATCACTCAATATTGTTGTATATAAATAGATCACTCAATATTGCTGTATATTAATAGATCATTCAATATTGTTGTATATAAATACAGTGTAACTTCCGAATTCCGGAAACTTCTAAAAACCGAACAATTTTTTCGGTCCCGATTTTTTGCCCTTCTATTTGCTATTAATATAATACTTCTGAATTCCGGAACTTCTAAATTCTGAATTCTGGACGATATTTTCGTACAATTAGAGTCAAATCAATGCAATTTTACCTCCAAAAACCGGAAATATCCAAAGGTGTGAAAAACATTGTAAATCGAGAATGTTTACCCTGCAGGAAGATTTAATCTCCCTATCGATTGTTTACTTATTGGCGGTGATCGTGTAATTTGACACGCGTTAAAATCACAAACTGTGAAAAGGTATGTTTGAAGTGATGGGGTTAATCAAAGTAATTTACGGCGGTCAGTTAATTTGAAGTGTTTATTAGCGGATTAAATGACAATTGATTCGACAATGTATGCATCAAACGTCTTTAGGGATTTTATTGCATTTGATGTGATAATTAATTAACTAGCATCGGACGATATGTAAGTTTATGCAATTAACAATATTTCTACAAACTGATAGAAATTCAAAAGCATTTGCAGGTAAGGTAAAAATGTTTTCTTTTCATTCACATCTTTATCTTGATTAAAAGACTATTACATATGATATTACAGTAATGGCCACATCTTCCTTGACATTTAGTGATATTAAGTGGCTTAGTCTTGTCCACATTATTATAAACCTCTGAATTCCGGAAACCTCTGAAATCCGAACTTTTTGACAAGTCCCATGGGTGTTCGGTTTTCGGAAGTTACACTGTAGATCATTCAATATTGTTGTATACCTGAGTGAGTTCATGAATCATTCCAGACTCATCTTCCAGCAGACTGGTCTTGAGTGGAGGTTCCGGTCCAATAGCTGCCTGTAGACTGCTTAGCTGATTATTTAACTCTTTTTCCAACTCAAACTGTAACACAGTCCAAAAACAAATCATAATAAATACCGTTAATATATTTCAAAAAATGGTAACATTCTGTCATATCTTTACAATTACAAGTGGTTATATTCAAAAAGCCATATCCTTATAATAAAAATATTGCATAACTAACTGTCAAGTTAACTTAGTCTTTAAAAAAAAAAAAAAAAAAAAAAAATTAAGGACACTGTGTTCTCATATAGTGTGTTTACCTTAAGTGTTTACAGTTTAACACACCTTCTTTGTGTGTACTCAAAATGAATATTTTAACATTTAAAAAAAGACCTGAATTTTGATTATTTACAGGTGGCATTTAAATGTAAAGCCGAGAATACTATAAGAAAACATACCAGGTCTTCTATCTGTGCTGCCATATGATATAATTTCCAACCTGATGCTTTCTGTACAACCCCTTTTTGATTTGACAGTTCATTAACTGTAGGTCGACGTTCGTCTGTAAAATTCATCACACATTATTAAATATACGTCACTACCACATAAACAACATATTTAACTGTTCTCTTTGAAAAAAATATCATAAGATTTTCCCCTTATTTATAAACTTACATATTCTTGGTGTAAAGCCTGTTCCTTTAAGTCAGCTAGTATCAGTTTACACTATAGTCAAAAGACAGAAGGCAACTGCCTAAACTAAAACTTTTTTACCTCAAGCCTGTGATTCAAAACAACAGACTGGAAGAAATGTCTTCAAATCAAAGTGTTACCGACTAACTTTTAAGTCAGGCTTTAAATAATGATAAGTTTAAAGTTAACTTAAGTTCATAAGTTAGTTTCAAGTTCTTTTTTTTTTTTTTGGTTGGGTTTTGCATCGCACCAACACAGTACAGATCATATGGTGGCTTTCCAGCTTTAGTGGTGGGGTAAGACATCAGTTGCCCCTCTGTACATTATTTCAAGCTGCACCAGGCAAGTGAGTAGAACCACCGATGTTTGGTAAGCTAGAGCTAGGATAGCTTTCTCACATGAACAATCCGTTGACGTTTGCGCAGCTCGAACCTACAGTGGTGAGAGGCAAATGGTTTGAAACTTCATTACTAAGATGATACAATAAAATAATGTCAATATACAATTTTTATACGTAAGATATGTTAACATTACAATAATGAAACTGACTGATATACCTTTAGGTTTAACATCTGTGTATCTGTTAAAATGATTATTTCTAGGTTTCCATGAAATATTGTAATAATTTAATAATGCTACGCCTGGTCGACATTTCTCCAACGTCCATCTTATACCTTCATCATCTACATACTCTGAAATATACAATAATCTCAGTCATATACAAACACCAATCCATAAACATTCAGCCCAAACAAATATGTCATGCTTGAGTAAACATTTTTAATGATTATTTACATGCAATTTTACACAGAAAGCATGTAGTATTTTAGGGAACAAAATTTCAGCAATCAATCAAAAAGTACTCTAGAATATGTACATGTATATCTGTTTCCTGTATATGAAATTTGCTGTATGTACATCTGAAGAAAATCCAATTTTAAACTACCGAGATGTTCAACTGAAATCATCAGTTTGCCTGACCATGTTACTTTTATTTCTTAATAAAGGTTTATTTTACTTTAAACATCATGTGTTAAAACAATGCTGATTCAGAAACTGGGGAATGACAGATCCCCTATACTTTTTACAGTCAAGGCAATAAATAACTGTGTCTATAAAATTCTAAGGCAATAAATAACAATGTCTATAAAATTTCAAGGCAATAAATAACTATGTCTATAAAATATTAAGGCAATAAATATGTCCATAAAATTTTAAGACTATAAATAACTACAGTCTAACTTGCCCATGCGACCACGTGTATTAAGCGACTTTTGTCTTAAACGACCACTTTAAATTCCCCCCGATCATTTTTTCTCTATATCTTTAATGTATTAAGCGACTTTTGCTCAACGCGACCAGCGACCGCTAATTAGTCACCTACTTGAGATAAAGTTTTTCATTAAACGACCACTTTTACCTGTCAAGTAATTGTGTTTTTAGAGAACGCCGCCTTGTTATGTCACAAGTGTCAACAATCAAAACACAACAAATAAACGTGTGAAAAACTCTATTTCCCAAACCGTTTTAGCGTATGCAAATGAAGGTTAGTATACGCGTGACGTGTATTATCCAATAATATCGGATAAACAATGCAACGCTCCGCCCCTACTGAGATGGTGTATACGCTTGGCTTGTTGACATTTAGACTGCATTGAATTGACCTTGAACTTGATCAGCAGTTAAATTTATCGTAACAATTAGATGTAGTTTGTTTATTTCAAATGAAAAAATGCACAACAGAAAACATCTTCACTATTAGGGTTTTCGTGTTGGAGACAAGGAAAAACAACGGAGAAGTTAACAAATTCTGGAAAAAATGTCAAACATGTACGTAATGGATCAAAACTGTTTTGCACCCCGTTTTGTCAATAAATATCAGAAAGTTATTTTTTACATTTGCATCCATTTAGATTATCGAAGCGTACTAATAATTCAACATTTATATAAAAATGAAGTTAAAAAACATTCCTATCGCATAAGAAAGATGTCATTTATAAATTTTGACTTTTATATCATGCCGACTGTCTTAAGAGACCGTTTCATTAAGCGACTGTTTATTTTGCGCGGTCGCTTAATACACGTTTGACTGTATATCCATAAAATTTTAAGGCAATAAATAACTATGTCTATAAAATTTTAAGGCAATAAATAACTATGTCTAAAAAATTCTAAGGCAATAAATAACTATGTCTATAAAATTTTAAGGCATCTATAAAATTTTAAGGCAATAAATATGTTTATAAAATTTTAAGGCAATAAATAACTATGTGTTTTCAGGCAATAACTAACCAGTCTATAAACATTTTAGAATACTGTAAACTCACCATCTCTGATCTCTCCTCTATTATCATCAGAGAGAAGATCATCTTCATCTTCATCAAATAGGTCATCATCTTCATCCTCCATTGTATAATTATTACACTCCATATCTTCCTTTACACATGCCTCTACTAGCTTGTCAAACACACTGACCGGCGTGTCCTTTATCTCTTCTGTTGCTTGTCTGAAACAAAACACAGACATAGTTTAAATTCGTTTCTTGTTTTCTTACTAAATCACATACATATTTCAACTATGTTGATGGTTTGATGTGTCAAAAAACCACACAGTACTATATGTTTGTATATTTTGTTGGGTCATTACAACACTCGTATGGCAAATTTTGAGCTTTACTGGTAGAGGAAGACGTCAGGTGCCCCTCCACACATTACTTCAGACACATAAGTTGAATCACTAAAGTTCCACAAACTAGCTGGATAGCTTCCAATTTTCATAGAGCCCTAGCGTGATGCAAACCATAGCAGTGAGGTGCAAGTTGTTTGAAATTAATGACCTTCACCACTTGGCCAATGACCAGATCACTCTGAACATTTAATACTCAGATGGCACCTGAGAATAGGCCCAAATTTTCCTTTCAATTTTAAAAGATTGGTTTTCTCACAATAAACAAAGTCAACAACACAGCTAGATTTAAACAATTAATAAGAGAACATGTAAATTGTAGTCAGAAATTATAACCACATGGTTATGGAAATCCCATACTGTAAGTCAATGTTCTTAAAGCCTGATTAAAACTTAATCTAAATAAAACAAAAACAGTATGGTTTTGGGGTTTAATATGTGTGAATTAAGTGTCAGATGTTGCACTACTAGTATATACATGAATCATTATAGAAGTTGACTGTATGCAAGAATAACTCTGTTTGATAATTGAAATTTAATTTTCATTATTCTGTCAAAACTGGGGATCTTGATAACCTTATTAAACTAAATAGCAACAACAAGTTTTTTTACTATTTTCTAACAAAACAATGAGAAAGCACAAAAGCCAGTGTCTTCATTTTATCTTTAAAAAAAAATTATTAACCCTGTATTAGCATTTCTTAACCTAGCATGCTTTTCATAGTAATTACATAAACAGTTTAACATATACTTACAACAACTGTTTTCTTCGTTTCCGTGGTGACGCTTCAGGAGTATTGTTGGTATAACCTTAAAAACAAACCCACACAAACACATGTTTTTTTAATTAATTAGGAATGACAATTTGAACATGGAAGTTCTTTCTATCAATGGATTAAGGCACACACGGCCATAAGGCCATCTATCTCTTTCTAAACAATTTTTCTTAATACATCATGAACACAAGAAGTCTACTAAGGAAACATTCTTAATTTTTTTTTTTGTTGGGTTTTACATCGCACCAACACAGTATAGATCATATGGCGATTTTCAGCTTTATTTTAGGCACAAACTGGACTTGAGTAGAACTGCAAACATCCTGTAAGCTATATACCTTCCTCAAACTAGAACTATCACTAAATGTGATTAATACCCCCGCAAGATTGCTTAGGGAATGAGGATGTTACTAGTAACAGAATACCTTGTAAAACAATTGAAATACAGTTTTGGTTGTGGGCAATTAAAGATAGTTGTGGTTCTTGTATGTTGCATTTCCTTTCAATGTGGTTGGCCATTGATGAAGTTTTATTGAATTACTCTGCAATAAGTCCAGAAAGACAAGGAAAAGGAACAAAGGGCAATAACTCTATAAATACTGAAGATGGAGTTATGGTTATTGTACACTGCACTTCCTCTCATTGCACTTGACCATTGTATGAAGTTGTATTGAATTCCAACTACAAGTTTTCAAGTTATGCACAGGACAAAAAAGTAACAAAGGGCAATAACTGTAATTAGTCCAATTAGAGTTATGGTTCTTGTGCACTGCACTTCATCTCACTGCCCTTGACCATTGTATAAAGTTTCATTGAATTCCAACCATTAATTTTCAAGTTATGCACTGGACAATAAAAAGTAACAAAGGGCAAAAACTTTTAAATGAGTCCAGAAAGAGTTATGATTTCTGTACACTGTACTTCCTCTCAATATACTTGACCATTGTATGAAATAGTATTGAATTCCAACAGGTAGTTTTCAAGTTATGTTCTGGGCAAGAAAAAAGCAATGGAAAAGTAACGAAGGGGAGTAACTCTATAATTACTCTGGACAGAGTTATAGTTTTTGTGCACTGCACTTCCTCTTATTGTGCTTGATCATTGTATGAAGTTTTTTTTAATTCCAACCAGTACGTTTTAAGTTATGCTCTGGACAAGGAAAAGTATCAAAGGGCAATAACTCTGTAATTTGTCAAAATGGTGTTATGGTTCTTGTGCACTGCACTTCCCCTTATTGTGCTTGACAACTGTATGAAGTTGTATTGAATTCCAACCAGTAGTTTTCAAGTTATCCTTCGGACAAGGAAAAGTAACAAAGGACAATAACTCTGTAATAAGTCAAGATGGAGTTATGGTTCTTGTGCACTGCACTTCCTCTCAATGTGCTTGACCATTGTATGATGTTATATTGACTTCCAACCATTAGTTTTCAAGTTATGCTCCGGACAAGGAAAATGCAACCGCTGGACTGACCGACCCACCACCGGGTGACTCCTATATACCCCCCCAAACTTCGTTTTTGGGGGTATAATGAAAGAATTTAATGTCCTTGGCGGAATTCGAACCCAAATCAGTAAGGCTCAAGTGTTTTGAAGTCAACAATAAAGACCACCTGACCACTGATCCTCCTATAATATACTTAAAGAAAATTTGATATGTAAGTCTTTATAAATTTAAGGTAAGTGAAACCTCTATTTCAAAATCTTTGTGACTTTTAAACTATATATGGTTAACCTCTATTTCAAAATCTTTCTGTGACTATGAGCTACATACAGTTAACAAGAACTTACCATTTTCATGAGGATCATGCATTTCTTGTTTAATTTTATCATGAGGTTGTGTGGGTGTGGTTGCTTCACTTGAGAGGGCGGTATCTGTTGATGATTGGCTCTCACTGAAACACATAAGACACACCCCTCTGAATTCACATGTCACATAATAAGAAGGGTCATAATAAACCTCCTTTAAACTGTCCACTGCTTACTCACGGGATTCTATATGAAAAACCTCCAATGTATAATTCAGCCACCAGAACAAAATGGTCTGGTCAGAATTCAGTAATCTAGCAAGTCATGACTGATTTAAAAAAAAATACACCCTTGAAAATCATCTTAACATGATGTTAGTAAAGAAAAAAAAGAAAGAAAAAAATGTCTGCATTGAAAGTTTAAAGGCAATGAAATTATTTCAAAACAAATAAGCTCATTTTAAAGCATTAAACTCATTCTTAAGCCAACAAGAAAACTTTATTGCCAATTAACAAGTTTTACAGCTATCTAAATGGTCTAAACCAATTAAACAATTCTGTGTAATTTTAAGTACAATTTTAATGTAAATATTCATTAACAGATATCTTTATAAAAAAGTCACAATGTTCAACACAAAATTCAAAATATGTTTTAACTGCAGGTAAAAAGCACATTCTTTAACTTCTGCATTTTCTCGCCTGTCAATTAACTTTTCAATTATGCCACAGACTTAACATTATTATCCACTCAACTATTTCTTAAACCACACCCTACTGGAAATGATTAGCCTCTGCCACAAGAAACAAGTCAGACTAGCCTGTGCAGGCTCTACATTATTGGCAGCTAAATTTTTGGTATTTTGTTAATAGAATCTCTTAAAATACAAATGGAATGTTCCAAATTAAAGGTAGAGAAAGTTCAGCACACAAACAAAGCAGGTTAAGGTTTAATAAATCAAAATATAATCTAAATAATATTATAACATGTATTTCTTTTGTTGATTTTATGTAACATTGATGATGTTATTGACATATGATATTGCTCCTGTTAGTTAGAAGACCTAAATAGCAACGACAAGTTTTTTCGGCCCCGTTTTCCTGAATTATTTCACATACAAGTAGGCATCCATGAAGAACTCAATTACTCTGATCCTTCTATAAGCCAGCTAGGTAACTTACTCTAACTAAAGAACATAACTTCCATTGCAAGATTTTAACAAAGAGAAGCAAATTAAACAAAATAAGCAACCATAAATAGTTGACCATAAAGGCCAATTCTTACAAGTACTCAATAAACTTTAAAATAAACTAAAAATGCCATGCAAAGTCAAAAAGAAAACAAAAACTCAATTTTCATATGGCTTACAATCTCTTCGACATGAAGCATAAGGGAAATGGGGTATTTGGGTGATAAGCAATTTATGGGATGAAAATTAAAGCTTTAGCAATTCTGTTACAGCAGTTAGAAACTAATGGAGATGACAGGACAATTAAATTAGCCACGTCATGACAAAACCAACATAGTGCGTTTTCGACCAGCATGGATCCAGACCAGCCTGCGCATCTGCGCAGTCTGATCAGGATCCATGCTGTTCGCTTACCAACTCTATTACAAGTAGTGAAACTTATAGCATAAACAGCATGGATCCTGCACAGACTGGTCTGGATCCATGCTGGTCGCAAACGCATTATGTTGGTTTTGTCATGGTGCGGCTCAAATAAGCAAGTTGCAGCTGAACATGAACTACTTACGAGAACGGAGATTCTCTTGGACCTAATGTGTGTGGATGGGGTTCAGTTTTAATCAACCTAAAACAATGTTGGTTTTTAATTTTCAGATTATGACAAAATATCTCAAGAAACATACATATAATGTCAAAAGTTAACTTAAAACACCATAATAAAACTAGAATTGTTTACTGGTGAAAAATTATACAATTTCTTTTTACATTTTCAGACATGAATGCATTCCACAGGATAGAATCACCAATCTTACATAATAGTGCAGGATAATTGAACTCCTTCCAAGAGTTCAAGGTCAGCCATACAAAATATTGCAATTGAGGACATTTCATCATTTTATAAATCTATAATGTAACCTTATATGTGAAGCACAACTTAGGATAACTGAACTCCTTCCAGGAATAACTGAATCCTTCCAGCAATAGTGGTTCAAAGAAAGCAATATGAAATATTGTTATAGAGGACCATTTCTCCCTTACTATCATTTTATAAATCTATAATGAAACCTTATATGTGAAGCACAACAAAAATAGTTGACACAATATCAAGGCCTAAATTCAACTTTGCTGCATGTGTAAATACTTTTGGAGGTACACAAAATTTCAATTACAAACTCATAAATTTTTAGTATTTATAAGAAAAATTATATTATTACCTATATGTAAATATACATGTTTATTTGTTGAAAATTTGTTCAGAGTCAGAGGATTGAATAGTTCCTCACTTAATAAAGATAACATTTGTGACAATAAACTTTACTACAAGAACTACTATAAAATTATTACGCGTCATTTTCTATCTCTCTTGCATAGAGCTTGGGTTAAATTTAGGCTGCATACATTTAAATAAAATACCTACATACAACACTGCTAAGCAATCTAAATCTATAACTTTACATGTTATTTATTTATTTCATATGGTTAAATACTGAATTTCCAATTATGCTAGAAAGTAGAAACTCACAAACAAGTTTATGCCCCACATGAAAATGAAGCACAGTTGTTATAAAAACCTACCCAGATGCCGGAGTTTTTGGTGAGCTCATATTGGACTGTGGAGTACTGTCTGGTCGTACCTCAGGCCTCGGACTGTGAACTTCTGCTGAGGTCATTGCAAGCTGCTTCTTCACAGCAGATACACTGTTAACATAAATTATTCTTACTACATTCATCTGAAGAAATTCAGAAGTAAAACATGGCTAATACTGTGAATTCCTATAATTTCGTGGGCAAGAAAATTTCGTGGTTTTGTCGCAAAGAACATTTTCGTGGGTTCTTATATCAACAGACTGTTAATTTTCCCAAAAGGTAAAATATAAATAATACAATGCAAAATAACCTTACAGCAGATGAAATAAAATTTTGCTGGATCTTAAATTTTTGGACTGACCTATCCACAAATACCAGAAAATTAATGCCCCACGAATACCAGGAAAATTAATGCCCCACAAAAAATATTGATTCTGCAGTACTAATACATGTTTTTTGTATATATGTAGAAGAAGCAAAATCTAAATTTATAATTTAAAGATCTCAAAGGTTTTTCTTTTTTTTTTTTTATTTAACACAAACATTAAACAAGAAGATTTACAATGTCATGTATTATATTATTTTCAATCAAAATCTTTGCTTATTTGATGGTTTTTTTTCTTGCAAAAAATACTTAATGCCTAAAACAACACAACTGTAGGGTTTTCATTTTTATGTAAAATAAAAGATGTACCAAAATATAAACAACCGATTTGGCCAAGGGTCAAGAGAGCTATCTTAACCTATAGGCTGAATATAAAACTGACTTTCACAGCATTTCAACCAATGATATGGATAGTCAATCTGTTAATAATGAAAACCCTAACAAACCTGGTTTATAATAAACTTACCCTTCATTTGTTCGCTTTCTGAGTATACTAGGACGAGGTGAGGCATTAGGGTTACTGACTGGGGTATTACTGGCTGTAATAGGGGCTGCTTGCCCTATCTGTGGAGCATGTAGATTCTGTGTTGCCGTGAACAAACTGCTTGCCACAGCGCTCACAGCATTAGCTGCCTGCTGAACTGTTTTGTCAGCTGCCATGGTTACCATACTGTTTGTTAAAGCTGCTGTTACTTTGGCTGCACCTTTGAGAAATGGATTAATATGTATAATATTTTATAAATCAATTACTGATTCTTATCTAAATAAAATTTCTAAATTTTTTTTTTCCATCTTAAATTTACAATTTTTTGTTTTTTGCTTGGTTTTACATTTCACTAAAACTTCAAAGGTGATATGGCTACATACCATACCACCTTTACTGGTGGAGAAAGACCCAAGGTGCCTAAGTGTGTTTTTTTAGGCACAAACCGGCACCTGTGTAAAACCACAAACGTTATGTTAGCTACCTGTCCCTTGCAAAAATTTGAACCCATAGCAGTGAGGGGCAAGTGGTTAGAAGTCAACATTAACTACTCGGCAAAAGACTCCCTTATTTCACAAATAAAATCTCCTCATGCAATGTACATGTGCTCATATTTTTATAGAAAGTAAATTAAATACTGTTAAGTTTTTGGACTAGGAGCTTCCAAGATGTCTTATCAGACTTTGTGTTATGAATTATTATTTCAATAATTAGATATTGACAAGTCTAACTTCAACCATCCTACAACATACACCACCCCCAAGCAGACTAAAAGCTGATTGACAGCTATGAAATAAAAATCTTCATAACCAGGTTAAAACACTTGACTTACCATCTGTTACAATAGAATGTATTTGAGAAGCAACGGTTGCTTGAACAGCAGCAGAATGAGGCTGGGATTGCCGTAAAGTTTCCTGCATCACCATTAACGGATGATTTAAACGAACGTTCGCACCACTGGTTGCTTGTGATACCCCTTGGCTAGCAGCTTGTAGGGATGCTGCCAGGTTCGCTGTAGTCTGATTAGGTACTGAAAAAAAAGATGATCAGTATGGTATTATAAGTATGTACAAAAAATGTTGACAGAACAAAGTTAGTAGTTAACTCATCGTAGAATAAATGTTCAATGTTCGATATTAATTTATATTATTTGAAGAGCATTTACACACATGAACAACATTTATACTTGTTCATTAAAAACAGGATATTAAATGAGTGTAGGTTCAATACTCAATCTATTCAATGAGTTCAATAAATTAAGTAATGAACCTACACGAACATAATATTCTATTTATCATATACCCAAAATAAAGACTGTTAAAATTGCAAAAAAAATCATTTTTCTTTGACGCACATATACATGTAGTGTAACGCTAACATTTAGCGTGTCTTTACGCTGTATTTGTATAACACAAATGACGTCATGTCAAAATATTTGCACAACCGCGCAATACCATTTTTAAGAAGTCACAAAATCTGCACAGGTATGTGATAAAATTACCAATCAAATATCAGCATGTTTTTCCTTTGGTTGAGTAGCAAGTCAAACACAAGGGTATAACATGATGCGTCTCTTAAGCAAAATTTCTATTTGAGCAAACTACAATTACCTTCTAAATACAGAACAACCATCCTGTACTATTATATCAGTTTGACAACTTCCAAGCCTTCAAATTCATTTTTCTGTAAAGGTATTCAAACTCAAAGCCTTTTAAAAAAAGTGATTTAATGTCAACCTTAAGACACTGAGGTCACTCACAGCTCACTACATAATAAGAGTGAAATAATAATGCTGTACAAAGTTAAAACTTACACATTCCAGGCCGGGCTTGAGCCTGTGCTACAGCAGCAACTTGGCATCTCATCAACTGCTGGTAGTACGGATTTTCTAGTGATGTAATGTATGGGAGAAATGGCATAGTAGGTATAGACCTGAAAAAGATAAAAACAAGCACTTTTTGCATCAGTTAACCCTTTAACTTACTAAACTGTGTGTTTGGATAGTAATCAATTGTAAGATCAAATAATACAACTCTCCAAAAGGTATTTTCAACCCTAGTCAGACTGCACAGATATGAAGGTTGTCTTAAAACATAAATAATTGACGTTACTCTGCAGGTAAAATTTATCTGGGAAAATGTTATCTATTTCGGCATACTGTGAATTCACTTAATTTTGTGGGTAAGAAATTTTGTGATTTTGTAACTAGGATTAATGTAATGAGGATAAACCTCACTATCCAGCTTACCTTATATACAATTAATGTAATGAGAGAAAACAAACTTACGACTCTCTATATTCAGTATGGGGTGCATTTGATGTAGTGACTATTGGATTGCGGCACATAAACAAATTACTGGCTGGCTGACTATGTGCTGGCAGCTGAGACTGAGTACTGTGTACAGGTGCTGTATGACTCTGTGAGGCAAGGACAGTATGAGAGTGAGCCGGCTGAGGCTGGGGGAAACTGGTAGCCTCGGTACGATGTTCCGCAAGACTGGAGACAGTGATGGTGGTAGGAACAGCGTGGCTCTGTGGAGTTTGTTGTATTATATGTTGTTGTCTTTGTGGCGGTACTTTTGCTGTAGAAAAAAACGAAAAAAAACACTGAACTTAATTCTTTTAACAATTCCCAAAACTAAGGCCATTAGGCATATATTTCATAATGGGATGGTGAATATTTTGTTGATTCATCCTAGTTTTTACATTATACTTTCCAATTGTCATCTTTTCAAAGTTGGCTTATATATTTGAAATAATAACATTTTTCAATTTTAAAAATAGTGTTTAAATTCCCAAATCAGCAGAAATATACATTGACAAACCAGCATTTTAACTTCTATATCGCAAATCAAATACATGTACTGTAAAAGGCATGTCCTTCTGATGCGTTTTGCTTTTTTTGCTGGGTTCAGAAAAACCAAAGACAGCCAATAAACTTTAATTTTATGTCTTTCCACTCAGAAATATATGCAAACAGTAACACAAAATTCAACAACAGCTGGGGTTTTTTGTGTATGATATGATCCTTGCTTTGATTAATCTGTCATATTTTTTCCCCAAATCAACTAGTGTTTGAGGAAGGCCGAAAAGAAAGGGCAAAGGGAATTTCTAAAATCCATAATGCTTAATAGAATATATTATGATATCTCAACAGAAAGTATAATATTCAAGTTACCTATAGGAATGGTTGTAGATGTAGGTCCAGAACTTATTATAGGTATAGTGACAGTAGTTGTTGATAAAGCTACCGTAACTGAACCCGTGCCAACTGGCTGACCTGAAATAAAACAACATTTTATAGAAAGTTTGATATACGGTAGAACTACTATGTGTCAAACTTCGATTAGTCTACTTTCTCGATGTGTCAAAAAGTACGATGAAAGTCTTGATTTTTTTCTCCTATATATTCTTTATTGAAACCTATGTGTGTCAAATTTTTATGCGTCAAATTTTTCTGTGTTGAAGTTCTTACTGGTCTGTAAAGAATAATTCTAGAATATTTTACCATAATTAAATATAATTAGGTCAAAGTTTATCAATCAATTTGACACCTTTGCTCTTGAGAAATTTTTTACACCTGTTCTAGCAGATTGTTTTTAAACACCAAATGATAGTTAACCTAGCAAATTTACACAAGGGCAATCAGTGATGACATGTGTAGCCTCACGATAGCCAAATTGCATGTTGCAGCTACTGTGTAGCAGGAAACACAAAAATCATTAAAACTGCAAAACACATTTTTTATTCAAGGGCCATGACTCGGCTAAAAAATCCTTCAACCGGAAAAACCAGTGTAATATGTGCAAGTACTCGAGCTACTGATCAATCCTGTAAAGTTTCACTACTCTGTAGAGGCGACAGAGAAATACGAGTTGATCATAATGCACTGTTTCCAAAGACTTCTGCTACATAAATCATAACTGTTATATAATTCATCAATTTCAATCATTTTCTTCCAACTAATGTTTGTCAAATACATCTGCCTATTATTTCATGCAAAAAGTCTATCAAGGTAGATTGCAGAATGTCAATTGTTCTATCCAGTTGCTTGTCTGCAACTGGAAAAATAGACAAAAGGGCATTCTTGGTATCTCTGGGCTAGTAAAAAGATGAAAAGTAGATTTTTTCCCTAAACAACCTTCGTGTGAAATTAACAATTTCAGATAATTTCAGATACCTAACCCATCAAAAATGAAGGTACTTACCTCTGTTTCCTTTAGCAGCAAGAGTTGGATGTTGAAGGACTTGTGTTAAAGGTGGCGTCATCATCACTTTCTGTTGTGATGTCATATTCAATGCCTGGTTACTTATTTTAGCAGCTTGCAGACTGCCAGCAGGTTTCCCGCCAATTTCTGGCTGTGTCCGTGATGCTTGTAATGTTATTTGAATACTTGGCGTGCTGCCAACTGTAGTTACATTGTGCAGGGATATACTGGCTCTGTAAATTAAGAGTGCCATGCATATATAATCTCTGAACCGATTGCATACTTGTTTAGCAATCTTTTTCATGTGCTTGGTCATCTTTGAATTCATTAAATCTTAATCTAAACATGGGATTAAACAACTTTCAAAAACCAAATTTCATGTTTAAAACTTCACATAAAATTTTTTCTTAAATTCTTTGACAGGTTTTTTTTGTGACTTTTTATTTTGAAGAAATAAATTTCCATCCATGATTCTTATCACATTGACAACCTAGACTCTTGAGATTGTTAAAGGCATGGTAACTAAGATAGTATGGCTAATCGTTAATTTTATCACTTAATGCTTCACACCTCCAGATGAGCCAAAATATTTCAAGAAAATCAAACTTGAAAAAAAATGTATCAAGATTTAAAGAAAAGTAAAAGAGATTCAAGATTCATTTCATGATTTGCATTTTATGTGCAATTTATGACTGATTTTGCATTATTTATCACCATAATTCTACTGCGTCACTAACGCAGTAAGGTATAATTTGCATATTTTGGCTCTTTTTTAGTAACTTTCTTAGGTGGTTTGTAAGAGCCGTTAACAATGTGTAAATTACTTTCTTTGTTCACTTCACAATATTTAACTTTTAAATACATTTTCAAAATTTGAAAATTAGCAAGAATCTGGAGGCATGCTGCTTTAACAAAGTGAATTTTGGTTATAAATTTCTAAACAGTAAAAGATACCTATGTGCATCGGAAGTTTGGGCAGAACCTATACTTATAGCTGGTGATGCAGATCTGTTAGTGGGTGGGGTAGCGGGTCGTATCATGTGTGGAATGACATTTCGTATTTGTCCCGGTAAATTTAAGGCAGTTGCTTGTATAGATGTGGGCAGGGTCTGTCGCTGTATATTCACAGAAGAGCCAGATCTCACTTGAGCCGAGGCAACTACACCTGAAAGTATTAAATTTATACTATCATATACACTATAATACAACAACATACACTATTAAAAGGAGAAACAATAAATAGATTTTTCAAACAAGAGCTGTTCCAGAGCTTATTCTTAGTCTAAAATTCTTTCTTACATTTTTAAGAGCAAGAGTAAGATAAGAACAATTATATACTCTGTATATTTCAAGAGTATCATAAAAATCAATGTAGCCACATTCTTCAAACTAAATTTAAGAATAGTATTGTAACAACTGATACATGTATAGTAAAATATGGGGTCGTGAAATATTTGAGAGAAATCAGTAAATGCTAATGGCAATAATGATCTACCTATGCCATTAGAGTAATGCCCATTCAGAGATCTGCCAAGAATTTGAAAGTACTGGGCCCTGGGCCCACTTGGTCTGAAAATGATGGGCCATTTTTACCAAAGTATGGGCCTTGGGAAAATAAGTAAACATTGACCAAAATAACTGTTAAAAAGTTTGTAGATACATGTACATGTAATTGAATTTCCCCGGTAATAAAACTTAAATCATATTTTATGACAAGTGGTTCACTTATAATTCAGTACTTTACCAATAATTAAAAATTATGCCTACATGGTAACTTTCTAACTAATATTAATTGCAGGCAAAAATGAAAATATTTTTTTAATGGCTGCTCAAAAATTTGATATGCAAATTTATTCACATAATTGCTGGTTCTTACTTGTAATGTCTTATATTGTGCACTATCCATTTAATTGTTCCTACTTTGCACAAAATGTCCCTTACCAATGTATATTGACGAATTTTATTGCCCCTTGTATGCCTCTGTGTAGACAGCATACATCAAAGACATTTGCCGACAGACCTTTTGATCATGAAAAAAGTCATGCACAATGTTTCTCTGATTGGTTAATCACCCTGTCAAACATTCTGATGACGAAATATACATCTTTTTTTACACTTCATCAGCCAAAACTTGCGTGAACTTGAGTGACCTTAGGGTTGATCAAGTTGAACACCTGTCAGATTATACTGTAACTTACAGCATTTCTTAAAATAGCAACACTTTTTTTTCAGTTACCGATAATCATTTTAAATATTAAGTAGTTGTATAATTTGTTTGTTTGTTTTATTGGATTAAATTTACGGTAGTAGAAATGAGTATCTGTGTGGGAAAGGGATTATGAGAAGAAATGCGGTAAGTAGATAACATGGACAAAAGCTATAGGGGAATGGATAAACTAAAGAATATGCGTAATTACAGGAGCATTGGTAACATGTTGCTGTTGGTACCAGTTTTGACTGGATGACTAAATAACCCAGCAGACAGTTTTGTTTTCTTATAAGTCTGGCACAGATTTTAGATGCGCCCATGGCCCTTTGCTGCCGATTTTCCTGCGCCATTCTCATTTTTTTAGCGCCAATGGCGCAAAATCGCGTCCTCGGCAGATCTCTGCCATTAAACCAGCACTTCCATGCAGTCTGACAAGGCACTATATAATTGACTGTTCAATTCTACACTCTTTGAGTATACTTCCATCATTTTTGTTAACAAAATTCCTCACAGTTACAATAAATTATTCAAAGTAAGTTCATTCTACATTATCAGCTTGGTAAAAGTCATGCAATATCAAACCTACCTCTTGGCAAATGAGAGAACTGCGTCTGATGATGTATGGTAGGTACAGAACTGCGCACTATGGAGCTTACATTTGGCACTTGCAAGGTGCTGCTTGTGGCTGTAGTGGTGCTGGGACCACTGATCTGTACAGGTATGATACCTGTTCCAGCTAGGGTGGTAATGTTAGCTGTCGAGGTCAGAGATAGAGGGGCTTTCTGTATCTCTGTAAAAGATCAAAATTAAAACAAGTGTATGTATAGTAGAATAAATTTGTCCTGAATTTATATACTTCCCTTTGGATTAACAAAGTAGCATTTGACTTTTCATTTCAATCAAAATGATATCATACTAGGAACATTTTTTTTTATCAATTTTAAGTCCTTCACTCAAGTAAAATTTCACTTTGATTTGAACAAACTAATCAATTATTTTAAAGATAAAATAGTACAAAATTTCCAACTTATGCTCATTATTAGGTAACACCAATATGTTGCAGATGATTGTTATAATTTTTCCAAAGTCCAAAGAATGTTTTGCAACAACTGTACCAATATGTACCAATAAAATTACACATTTTACAAAGAACAGGTTTTGTTCTTCTTTTCATATATTTTTAGTCTGATGCATTGGCACTGTAAAGGTCATATGGCAACTTTCAAGCTTCACTGATGAAGGAACACCTCAGGACACATACTCTGTACATTATTTCAGACACAAATGGGTACCTGAGTAGAACCACAGGCCTTAAGAAAGCCAGCTTGATAGCTTCCTCACATGAATAAAGCCAATGTCCAAGGTGGGATTCGAACCCACAGTGATGAGGGGTGATATATGAAGATAACCCACATCACTCAGCCATGTTTTGAAAAATCTTAATGTCTTCAATATATGAGGCTAATTGTATGAAGATAGCCTACAGACTCACAACAAGAATGAGTACTGTACATACCTTTCTTATGAATAGAAGTAGGGTTGATACTTGTTATCTGATGTGCAGCCAATGGTTTAGCATGGCTTCCAAGAACAGGAACTGGAGCAATCTGGCGTCCCAATGTTTTTGTCACCTTTCAAAAATATAAAACATACATTTAAACGCAAAAGAGATTTGAGTGAATTATAATTTAATCTTTTTTGTTGGCTTCCTTTAAAATACAAAGGATGCACTGACAGGTAGATAATGACAAAATAAATTTTCTGCTGAAGGATTCAAGGAAGACCACATGTGCCCCTTTTTGCATTCTATGTTGATGCATTAACCTTAGCTTTCTATACCTTAGACCACATGTGCCTCTTTTTGCATTCTATGTTGATGCATTAACCTTAGCTTTCTATACCTTAGACCACATGTGCCCCTTTTTGCATTCTACGTTGATGCATTAACCTTAGCTTTCTATACCTTAGACCACATGTGCCTCTTTTTGCATTCTATGTTGATGCATTAACCTTAGCTTTCTATACCTTAGACCACATGTGCCTCTTTTTGCATTCTATGTTGATGCATTAACCTTAGCTTTCTATACCTTAGACCACATGTGCCTCTTTTTGGATTCTACGTTGATGCATTAACCTTAGCTTTCTATACCTTAGACCACATGTGCCTCTTTTTGCATTCTATGTTGATGCATTAACCTTAGCTTTCTATACCTTAGACCACATGTGCCTCTTTTTGGATTCTACGTTGATGCATTAACCTTAGCTTTCTATACCTTAGACCACATGTGCCTCTTCTTGGATTCTACGTTGAATGCTTTAACCTTAGCTTTCTATACCTTAGACCACATGTGCCTCTTTTTGGATTCTACGTTGATGCATTAACCTTCACCTTCCATGCCTTGTCCAAGTGACATAACAGAAGAAACACACTAAAACTGAGCATCGTTATTCAAAGTATGATCACATTCTTTAATATTTAAAACTGTACTTATTCAATTTGTAGAAAACCATACACAACTAGCCCATTCTATTTTAATGTCTTGAAACCTCATGTACATAATACGATCTGGGAGGAAAAGTTCCATCATATTTCATTCACAATAAATTTCTTCATTAAAGAATTCTCTTTGCTAAAGAAAAATCAGCACTGCCAGCACATGCAAGTCAACACTATGACTTGATCCTTTATACCACTTAGCAAACAATAGCATGGCTACATGGTCAAGTGGTTAACGCATTGGACTAGTAATCTAAGGATTGCTGGCTGCATGGGTTCAAACCCTATCAGGAGCAAGTAGTTGTTTCCTCAAGCAAGAAACTTTACACTCATTGCTCAGCACTGGTTGGTTCCTGGAACCAATTCTATAAACTTACCAGTTGGTTCCAGAAAAGGATTCTATAAGCTTCTAGCTTCCTAAACAATCAAAATAAAATAAATTCTGTATAATCCAAACAATAATGACTAAACATTTTCAAAATAGGAATTTCAGGCAATAAGAGTACAATAATACCTGGTATGTTGACACAGCATGGCTCATATTCAAAGCTAGAGGTGCAGATGCTGCCGACCCTATATGAGCTTTAGGAATCCTAGTCAATAGCTCTTGCTTCTGAGTATCATCTACCCGCCTGTCACCTTGACCCACCGGAAAATTTGGATTGTTTACACTCATCTGTCATACAGAAAATAAAATCTAAACCTTTACCCTTTGAATTTGTTATTGACTGTTCCTGTCTTGAATTTGACTAGTTAGTGACATGTCTAGGGCACCAACAAATTTTACAATTTTATTTGACCTGTTGTGACCTTGACCTTCATTTTGCACAAGACAACTCAACTCAACATGGAGAACATTTGTGTTTAGTTATATTAAAATCCATCCATGCATGTAGAAGTTATACTTGCAAATGAATGTTTTATTCTGTTATTTGACCCTAAGTGTGACCATGACCTTTACCACAGACACATTTACAGCGCAACACTGCCTCACTATGGAGAATATTTTTCTTGAGTAATATTAAAACCCCTCCGTGAATGTAGAAGTTACGCTCAAGACACGGGTTTTGCACTGACCCCAAACTGTGACCTTGACCTTTCAGCAACAGACATGGGTTTTAAGTGCGACACACCATCCCATCATGGTGAAGATTTGTACCAAATCAGTTTGTAAGCCTTCAAAGAATGAGCAAGATATAGCCTAGACAAATCGGGATGGACGCATATACACCAATCTAAATGCCAAAAGTGACAATGAAGTCAGACTCACAACAAGCGGGCTCAACAAAAAAAACAATTCCATAACTGTTATAAAATTGAACTGGGCAAATTGCCAATGTCTGTAGAAAAATGCAGTTCGTGGTCAGACATTGAAAAAGACATTGTCTACCCAAAAATATCTTGATGTCTCTTTGATAAGTTTAATTAGTTGGGCTAAATTTGGAAGTTAATCATCCAGGTAGGGAACTGTCGAAGATTTGTTTTGAAAGGCTACTATAATACTACTGTCAGATAATTACAAATTAAACATAACTGTCTTAATTCAGTTTAAATTTTGTAAACCTGGTAAAAAGCAGACATGCGGTTCAATTACCTGAAAAGTAATTGATTAAATTAATGATTATAACCCAATTTTCAGTAAGATTAATAGTTTTTGGTTAGTAATTGATTAATAATTGGTAATCACATAGTGAATTAATCAATTAAGCATTGTGAAATGCATATTTTACTGATCAGTTGTACAAAACCACTATTTTATGATAAACCTTCAACATTACTCATTAGTTAATTACACACCTTCTTGGATATCTTTCATATCTTTGGGTATATTTAAGTATTTCGTGCCGCCGAAATAAAGGGACTTTTTATACTAAAAATGTCCTGCGTATATACTTTATTCCTATTATAATCAATATTAATGAGTGAACATAAAATTTTATCACTTGAAACAGTCTTTTTACACTGATAGATATTTATTTAACTCATAGCTAAATCCCATTCCGACAATTTAATTGTGAAATGTCAACATCTCCGCGACTTGCACTGATTTTTTTTCCAACATGCCTTCACAGACTAGAACCTTATTGTATAATTAGCAATACTAATTTCTTCATTAATGTTCACACAAATAAATCTACTTTGAACGTTAATAGGAATAAACAGACAACACGTAAACGCGACCTAAAGACCAACATAAGGAATTTTAGCACTTTACGGCAGTACCCCACCACCTTGGCAATTTGTCTGGAAAGAATTTCGGCTGTTTACGGGTGACAGCTGAAATTATTTTGCAATTCATGACATCATACCTGTACCAGTACAAACGTAGGAAAGTCATCTAACATAATATAGTAATTACCTTTTCAATATTCACGATATAAACAAGTAAACTACATTTCCTTTCGCATTCCCCGATAAATTGATATTTGGCTCTCGGTAAACGACGTCATGTATTATGATTTTTGATTGGATAGTTGTTGTCACATGGATCCATACCTTCCGGTTTCTGGTTCCCGACGTCGTAACAAAATCTGAGGCAACGGCCAAGTACAAAATTTCACGCAGCACCTGTTTCTACTTAATTAGGTCAAATGCAGTAAACCAGCTAAAATACTACGCTATTCAAAGTTTGAAATTAATATGGGCCCATGTAGCAGCCATTTATTGAATTTTTCATTTGCTGGGTTCCAAACCGAAAGCAAATAGGTTTGAAAAGCACCAAAGAAGAAATCTTTAGTTCACTGAAGGAGTAACGTATCTCAAAGTAAACTTCTGTAACACGGAGTCTCAGCATACCGCGGAGTAATTGTAGGTACGCGCTAACTAAATTTTCCGGCACTATAGTACTAATTAATCTGGCAAAATGGTAGCGGAAATGGAAGATGTCCTTTTACATTGAAACATATAAATTGCCATTGTATTTAATCCTGTAAATATTCAATATTCCCTCAACAAACAACAAAATATAAGATAAAAAATACGTTAGATACATTATAAAAGAAACATCAAGTTAGCCCATGGGCGATTTTAGGGTTCTTCAAACGATTTTAATTCCATTCAGCTTCACCAGAAACTAAGTCAGTAGCTTATATAGTTAGACCAACGTTTGAATGTTCTTCTTCTGTGTGGAACCCTCATTACTAGAAAAATATTGATTGAATCATCAGTTTTAAAAAGCGCGGTCAAGTTCACAACCAACAATATTACTGTAATTAAGTCACCAGGGAACTTGACCAATATCATGCTCATTAGAGTAGCAATCCCAAGACATTTTGCGCACAGGTAATAAATTAGTTCTGTTTTACAAAATAGACAATAATATTGTAGCATTAGGTATTATTCAACGTTTACAGCTTTACACAAGACAATTGAGGCATTACCACACTCAAGCCTATCATCTTGAATAATCATGAATTAAATGACATATAAAGTATAGTCTACCTGTGGGATACTTTCCCCACAGAATATAGTCAGTGCTGACACAGTCTCTGGATTTATATAGAAAAACAGAATCCCTGAAGAAATACGAACACGTCAGCGCTGATTGCGTGCATTTTGACTGCTATTTGAGTCTTTTAAATTTTTGGAGTTTTTCGTGTTTTGAAATACTAACCGTCTTATCTGTGATATGTAGGCTTCATAACCTCTTATCCCCTTTCAAAATTTCATTTTGTTTAGTTTCGCCTATTGTTTTCTCGTTTAGGTGACATGCCTTATATTACATGGGGACCAAACGCCGCTTTTCATGGAATATGGCACAGAACCTGGGAAGTGTCGCATTGAACTTATTGAAGGTTCAGTGATGACCGCCGTATGAATACATCTGCGGATGTGTTCTTAATTTAAAATTTCACCATTTTTAAATTTTGAATTCTGCTGAATCCGGTGTTAGGGGGCGTGGACGGTAGCTCGCATATTTCAGTAATGTTCATTAACAGACTCAATCAAACCGAGCCTGCACTATTTTCATTTTGTACTTTTGGACGTTCTTTAGGGATTCTTTTTTAATACTCTTTTTTATCTGCAAGAAAACATTAAACAGATTGTAGAATATTTACGATTCTTTTTTAAGGCGCTAGTCTTTGTCCCCATTTTTCATCACGTTGTTTGGTCGTCTTGTGTAAATTAGAGTAGCATTACTGTAGAGGCTTAGCATACAATCAGTTTTTCTAACACCAACTCATGGCCATTATATCCAGTAAATGAATAATAACGATAACAACAGAAGAAGAACCAGCTTCTAAATAATGTTACCACTTTATATGCAAAATAAGGAAATCAAAGTATTAGTCAGATTGTTATTGACACCATTAGTATTACAATGCAAGTTCATTGCCATTTGTTTAGCTTAAATTTTAATTTCCCGCGGTTCTTAGTATGAAGTTCCCTTCTCTTACACTACGTAATCTTAAGAGTATTTAGTTGAATAATTATATAGCTATTAAACATGAAATTCAACGATGATATGCCCAAACACATGTTTTCGTTTGAGAAATGTTGCTAAAAAAAGTGAGCACCTTTTCGGCGCCGCCCTCTATCCAAAAGATACATCAGGGGTTTGCCAGAAGGGGGATGTACCCCCTTCTGTTTGGGGGGTTTGAAGGGGGCGGAGTCCCCCTCATCGCCAAGAAAATTTTGGACTTGTGAGAGGCTAAAAATGACCCCAGGTCGATCATAAGGTAACGTGTAACCAACGCTGAAAAGCCTTTGACTCTACCTCAATCCCTTGAGAAGTTGCAGCACTTTGAAATAAATTTTGAATCGAGGCAAAATAGTGATTTTTGGCAATTTTGAGATGTCCCCTCGTTGCCATGGTAACAGGAAATTTAAGACTGAGCATGTCGTTACAAAGGCAATGGTCCAGTCAACAATTGTGCCAAGTTTGATTAGTATATTGAAGCATTTTTCATTGTTTCATAGCAGTTTGAACTTGTAACATGTGGCTTTTCAGTGAAAACGGACATTTTTCACAATATGTTCATGAGGGAAAGGGTTAAATTCTAATTTCCCTTGCTACTTAAAGTATGAGGTTCCCTTTTCTTTTGAATAATTATATAGCTATTAAACATGAAATTCAACAATGATATGGACAAGTGATTTGAATAAAACATCAAATGCTCATCGTTTATTTTGATATTTACAGCTTAGACTATTAGCCAGTGCCAATGGGCGTGGACGATAGCGTGGCTTACAACTTCCATTACCGTCCGTGAACATACTCAGTCAAACTGAGCCTGCAACAATTTCTATTTTGCCGTGTTGGGTTTTCTTTCGGGACTCTGTTTTTCTTTATTTTTTTTATAAAATTTAAGTCTACTCACATACTCTCACTATTTTGTCGGATATTGTATTTCGATGGGACACTTATATTTTATATCTGTAGCATAACCATGTACAATGATAATGATGCTAGAAATATCGTTGATTTTCAGCTGTTTAATGACTTTTGAAGGTACAAACATGCACATCAAACATGTATATTATCATTGCTTTTACTCAATTACACATTTTCGATCATTATGAATTAAGGAAGACACAATGGAGACATACAAGTGTTTCTGTTATTGCTCAATATTCTACATTTCATATAGATTTGATATACATTTCTTATCATATACTTTTATTTTCTGTAGTTTTCTTCTTGGTATATATAGCATTGCAATTCCCACTATTGACCACTTAACTATATATATATATATGTATATATGATTATCTTGTCAAAATATGTAACTTATTAATAAAAATATGTACACTGATATGTCAAACACGAATTTCAATGATAAACACACTGTTTTGTGAAATAAAAAATTCTGGAATCAAGTTTGAATCTGCGGATGTTTCGAAATTCAAAATTTCGCCATGTTGAATTCTGCTTAAACCGGGCGTGAACGGTAGCTAGCACTTTCCAATACCGTCCATGTACTGACTCAGTCAAATCGAGTCTGCAACATTTTCAATTTTGTTGTTTTGGAAGTTCATTAGGGATTTTCTCAATTTAATCTGTAATTTCCACATAACTATGAAATACGCCTTTTTCGCTTTTATTGGCACGGCAGCACGCGGTTAGCACTTGTTTTGGACAAGTTATGGTACTACTATTTCCTTATTTTGCTTCAGTTGCCCCTTCTTCCGCTTTTCTAATCTTTCTGCGAATGGAAGTGTGAGGACCCAGAGTCCGCCAATAGTTATCAGAGCTGATATAAGCAACATCCCGGGCACGTAAGATCCAAGTTTATCACGCATCATACCTATTTATAATATAAAACAAATACATTTTCATTTTAATATCTTCCCTTGATTAGGAGTATTTATTATTATTTGTTTGAAAGATCCATTTTCATTTGGTTATTATTATTTTTATTATTATTTAGGAATTGCAAATATTTTCAGTTTTGTTTGGCGAAAAGCATCAGTAAATAAATAAAAAAGCAGCGTTTCATTAAAAAAGTGTCATACCATTATACACCTACTTACACAAAGTGTATTTTCAAATGCAAAAACAGGCTAGGCACAAACCAAAAAGCAAAGAAATGGGGGAAATGACACTACTTTTATCAATACATGTATTACATACATTTGTACTTGTAATATACACATAGAGAAACCATTCAAAAGCAAAGCAAATATTCTGAATAAATATAGATATAGAAACACAAGTGAACTGAACTTTAAAGAAACATCTATATATATAAATTAATTAATTAATCAATTTAATATCATTTCTTTACGTTTATAAAAACAATTTGGTCTCTTACTCTTAGATGTACAATATAATAAGATGCGTTATATTCATGAATATTGCAGGTGTCCTTGTACACATGAGTAATTTTATAAACATTCATACCGTACCTATGATTGGTTGTAAAGCAGCTGATGTTCCAGTCTGAGCAAGACCGAAAACGCCAAGAGCACTGCGTAAATTTTCGAGGCCATTAAAATCGACAAGAATAACAGGATACAAACTGAAATATACTCGTCCGAATATTCCATAAATAACACTATAGACCACAAATGACGTGTATACTGTAAAAAGAGGAGAAAAACTCGTGGCAATACCCATACACACAACTGCAAGTGATAGGATTTTATGCCTTCGTATGTATTGTCTGTCAGCAAGCACTCCCCACATAATGCATGCACATATATCAACTATACTTATAATAGTTATCAGAAGTCCGCACTTTTTAGACGACACACCTAAGTCTTTGGCAAACGCTGGTAGATAAATCCCAACAGCGGAAATCATTATGATCAAACATCCGCAAGGAATAAAGAAAAGAAATGGAATACTTTTTAAGGCCTTACAATCAATAATAGATCCAAATTTGGAACATCCCTTTTGACAGCATATACACGATTGTTGATCTTTAGTTTCATAGTCAGCATTCTTTTGTTGTACGTTTGTAGTCAGATCTAACATTGAAGAGAAAGAAAGCTCAGTGCTAGCATAACGTCCTATGCTAGAATTGTTCAATGCTGAAATAGCATTCTCCATTCTGTGTGAAATACTTGCTCTACTTAGTTCTGATATGGTACGTTTCCTTCGATTTCGTGCTGCAGCTTTACGCATTGAAAATGGAGAAAGTTTTGCGTCAATTAACGGCGAATTAGCACCTTTGGAACTATGGCCATTTCGTAAGTCCAAATGGCTTCTTGTTATCGATACATCTGGAGATTTGCTAAAACGATCTACAATTGAGGAATTTTTCAGTGATCCATTTGTTTTCACTTTACCATTTATCGTAACATCTTGCATTCCTCCATTTTCGAGCGTTTTGCCAATTTTATCGACGTGCTTAGAATAGAATGTTATTGGTCGCATCAGCATTCCTGAAACTGTCAAATGAAGCATAATACCGGCTAGTAGCATGACAGTTCCAGAAAATGCATACTCGTCGATCAAGTAGGGAATTAGAACTGAAAACAAAAGAGATCCGACGCTCCCACCAGTGGTAGCAATACAGTTCGCAAGACTTCGGTACTTCTCAAAATATTGACTGATTAGTGCCATAGTTGGTGCTGTTATCATTCCATGAGCTATACCTGAAATTTATAGCATGCCATTACAAAGGCGACCGTCAAAAATACTATCAAAGTATACTTTAATTATGTAGTAAATGTGGGAACCCAACACGGAAAAATGAATAATCATTGCAGGATTGGCTTATTTGAGTCTATTAATGGATGCCATGCCCAGCGATTTAATATACATCTCTCAAGATACGAAAGTTGTGAAATTTTGAATTTTGTTACGTTTACAGATATTTTTCATACGGCGTTGTTCATGGAACAATGGACAAAACTAAATAAGTGGGGTATGATACCAATGTATCACAGTCCGTGTTCCAGAGATAAATTTAAAGCAGGCAACATAACCTTCAGATGATTCAACAATTTTTAATCAGAAATATTGTAAGCCCACTACTATATTTAAGTAACCATTTGTTTTTCGAAAGTTATAAGCTCGATCGAACTAAGATACTGCATTTGTCATTTGCTTACTTACCGCTCACACAACCTAGAAGTAATATTAGTATTTCCACCGATGGTGCAAATGCTGACAATACATAAGCTGATGTCATTATAATGCCGCCTAGAACAATAAATTGCCTACTGCTGAAGTATTGCAAACCTATTGTAGTCACAAGTAATGCTGGAAATATATTGGAAAAAAAAACAACAGTTACATGTCAAATGTGCATATCAGTGGTTTAGTGTGAACCTACAAGATAAGTTACATATAGGTTTCTTACTATACCCTCGATACAATAAAAACAACGATCGAAAGACTTTCGAAGACAACTGAAATTTAAGCTAACTTTTATTCTTTGTTCTGAGATATTGTGAATGAAGGCTTTCAAGCATGATTTTACTTATTAGTATATTAAGTTTCAAACGGTAAGCTTTGTTTTGAATTATTTCACAATTATAGCACTATTTGAAATTTGCCATGTATAAAATTAGACTTTTTGTAAAACCGAAGATATTTCTATTTTTCTATATAAATATACTAGTAAACTATTTAATTTTACATGCCTTACCAGTGACACTGTAAGTACCGTTTAAAACGCTGGCAATCAAAGACGTCATGGAGGAACTTGAGCCATATCTGTCCTGAATTTCTATAAACAGCATGCCAAATGCTTTATAACTTCCGATTGTTAGAATAAAATTGCACCAAGCCGCTGAAGTAACAAAATCAATATTTGATGCGTTCAATTCCACCATATGTAAAACATCACCAAAATTAATATAAGTCTCTTTATATGCAAAAAAAAAAAACAACCCTTATTGTTTTACATTGTAACACATTCTGAGCAACTTCTGAGAAATCGGTTAGATCTTCACCTACAAAGACTTTCTGATGTTTACATGTATGTACTGTTAGCATTTCACATTTTAGATACATTTTGACAACTGCATTGAAACACATTTTAAAAATCACCACCGAGCAAACAGGAAAAAGAAATCGGCTAGATCTACATATACAAAGACTTACCGATGTTTTCTATATACGAAAAGCATTTCACATTTTTAATAATTTTTACAACGCCATTGATATTTCTTTAAACTCGACATGAGACAAGCGATTGAAATGGAAAAAAAAAACATATCACGAAACTCTTATTAATGATATAACTATAATCATACTCACCTACAACTACCACCCATGCCCAACCCCTATCCACGGGAAGTCCTTGCTGTTCAACAGACTTATCTCTGCTTGCATCGTCTTCATCTACATGATCATTGATGTCTTTTTTGCTATCTGGATTCTTCAACAATTTACCATTATCTCCATTGATTTGAAACTTTGTTTGGTCCTTGTGCATATTTGTGGTACTCTAAATCAACTGGTTTATGTCCATGTTATCTTTTAAATAGCATTTTTGTAGCATGTTGGTTATTAGATAACAGCATGTGAAAAGCCACTAACTATATAAAGTAGCAGTTAAAAATAAAATCAAGTGTTAAATAAATCGTACCACAATCGCACGCAACACATACCTTTGGCTCTTGGCCTGCTCCAAGGTCGTGTCTCACATCGTGACCGCTCCGTATCTATAGTTCACAACATGTATCATTACTTGATATATATATACATTTGTATGTAATACGAATATACGCTTATATTTACATAACAAACGATGTATACAACTAATCGATTTACAATTTTGCAAGTTTGGTTGCAAGTACGATCATAACTCGGTTAAACTCCTGATTAAGATTTCCTCGCAGTTCACTGAACCCCTATAAAGGTTTAAATAAGAAAAATGACCTCAAATGGCAATGTTTTTCTTCAATATGAACTTCGTTGTTTTTTTAATATTTTTACTACTTTTTATGATGCCCGAAAAAAATTACATCAATATTGATTCTTTATTCTTGCATAAAAACTGCGCATGCAGGTAATACATCAAGGAGAAGAAAATATGCAATAGCCAACGATAAAATTAAGTGAGCACATTTTTACAGCTCCATGTTAAAATAACTAACTGCATTGACGGTCCCATAGCTTCATTATCAAAACATAACACACTATCACGGGAATAACATGAAGAAACTATTTTTTATATGAAGGGCACATTTTAGTATGCCGAATCAGACGTACATCTATGCAGAAAAAGCGCTATTGCAATCGGACTTATTAAATCCCCTGGCTTTAAATGCGTTTTTGATGAACTAATTCACGAGAAAGGTGCATTTACCCTCAATTACTAAATCATTTTTGTAAATAATGTGCTTAATCCCTGTTTATGTCCGTGTATATATACCATTGTATCAGAAATAAAGCAATTATCAACTGATACAAATTCATGAGTAAACCCTGTTACATAGTTAGTGACTGAAACAAAGTACTTCGCATATTGAGCGATATTATATCGATACCGTCATACGCAGTGTTACGTAATGTTGCCAACATATCGCGAAAATTACCACGCCAAGCCTTATCAACGTCATTTACTTTCTAACGATACTCATCATTTGTTCATTAAATGTGATCCAGGTTCTCTCATCGATATATTTATAATCGTAAGTAAATTTGTTTTTAGGAGTACATTCCATAAACGTTTCCATGCTGAATTTCTTTATAGGCATTATCCCTGCCAGGTGTATACCATCTGATTTCATATAATTAGTCATAAAAAAGTGAGTACAAGAAAATTTCAAAACTTGTTGAATAAAATAGAGGATATTTGTTTAGTTCAGTGTAAGATCGGAATATATTTCACCGAGTGAGCACCAAAAGGTATATTTCACGAGTGGCGCAGCCACGAGTGAAATATGAACTTTTGGTGTTCACAAGGTGAAATATATTTCGATCTTACACTACACTAAACAAATTTTCTTTTTATTACATGCAAAGAAACGTTTTAAAAAGACATTAAACCTAATACTGAATGAAAAGCGCGCCAAATAATAATACAACGTGACGTCATTTACGACGTCACGTCATTAAGTTGGTACCCAGTACTGTGCACGCTGGTATTTCACTGAAACAACGTAAGGGGCTTAAATTTAAAACAGTGAAATTATCAAAGTGGTAATTTCACTGTTTCAAACAGTGAAATTACCAGTTTTATATCACTGATATACATGTATTTCTATAAACCACTGAAAAGCATGTAATAAGTATGATTAAATGTGTGTTACTTATCATATGTATTTTTACATGTAAAAAAGTAACAGCCCCAAAGTACCTTTTAAAACCAACAACAAATATATTGATTATACTGCTATTACAACGCTTTGGAAACGTTTGCACCAAATTAAAGTCAAAGCTCCAAATAAATGTATGACCTACTCTTGACCAGTTTGACCATCGAAAAGCTGCAGATAAAGGATTAAACTTTAACTAACTCTGACTGAAGCGATTGTAAAAAGTTGACATTTTGTGCGTGTAGTTTCTGGATCGTATAAAATTATACATATCAGTAATGTTTTAAATAGTATAAACAGGAGTCCACATTCTTTCGGAGGAAGTCCTGAATCTTTGTCAAACGCTGATGAATAATTATGCTGCAAATTTTTACTATCAAGCATACAGAATGGGGAAATGGAATCTTTTCATAGATCGGTAGTCAGTGGTAAAGCAAGCTGTCCTCAAACAGGAACTGGAGTCACGACGCTTCATCTTTTCTTTGTGAAATATAGATCTAACATCGCAGAGATCATAAGTTCTGTACTGGCTTGATAACCAACATTTGAATTGCTCAATGCTGAAATCGCGCCTCCAAATGTTATTGAAGTTTTTGTTGATCTGGAATGCTTTATGCGAACTTCACCTTTCCATTTTGCACTGCGTTCACTTTGAAGTAACGGTAATTAAGGTATTTAATTAGCTACTAAGTGAACGTAGTGAACTTCATCCTTTCGCAATAAATGAATGTCTAATCTTACACTTGTGAATTATCAATTTTTATCACACACCCGTGCTGATTTTGCGACTCCGTAAATATGGTATTGCACGGCCGTGCATATATTTTGACGTGACGTCATTAGCGTTATACAAACACAGTGTAAAGACGCGCTAAATGTTAACGTTATACTATAGGCGCGTCGATGAAAAATGACTCTTATTTCACTTTAAATGTTCTTTATTTGGGTATGTGATAAATAGAATATTAAATTCGTGTAAGTTTATTACTGAATTTATTGCACTCGTTGAATAAAATAATATTATGCTCGCCAAAGGCTCGCATAATATAATTTTATTCAACTCGTGCAATAAATTCAGTATTGAACTTACACTCATTTAATATCCTCTATGTCGTAGGCATATACGATTATATGACTTGTGCATACATGTTTCATATTAGGCTACAAGCTACAAGCAAAAAAGCGAGTCCATCCTTTCTTGATTATGAAATTAGGAATGAGCTACTAAATTTACATAGAGGATATTTGTTTAGTTCAGTGTAAGATCGGAATATATTTCACCGAGTGAGCACCAAAAGGTATATTTCACGAGTGGCGCAGCCACGAGTGAAATATGAACTTTTGGTGTTCACAAGGTGAAATATATTTCGATCTTACACTAAACTAAACAAATTTTCTTTTTATTACATGCAAAGAAACGTTTTAAAAAGACATTAAACCTAATACTGAATGAAAAGCGCGCCAAATAATAATACAACTTGACGTCATTTACGACGTCACGTCATTAAGTTGGTACCCAGTACTGTGCACGCTGGTATTTCACTGAAACAACGTAAGGGGCTTAAATTTAAAACAGTGAAATTATCAAAGTGGTAATTTCACTGTTTCAAACAGTGAAATTACCAGTTTTATATCACTGATATACATGTATTTCTATAAACCACCGAAAAGCATGTAATAAGTATGATTAAATGTGTGTTACTTATCATATGTATTTTTACATGTAAAAAAGTAACAGCCCCAAAGTACCTTTTAAAACCAACAACAAATATATTGATTATACTGCTATTACAACGCTTTGGAAACGTTTGCACCAAATTAAAGTCAAAGCTCCAAATAAATCTATAAACCACCGAAAAGCATGTAATAAAATGATTTATTACATGCTTTTCGGTGGTTTATAGAAATATATCAGTGATATAAAACTGGTAATTTCACTGTTTGAAACAGTGAAATTACCACTTTGATAATTTCACTGTTTTGAATTTAAGCCCCTTACGTTGTTTCAGTGAAATACCAGCGTGCACAGAACTGGGAACCAACTTAATGACGTGACGTCGTAAATGACGTCACGTTGTTTAATCATTTGGCGCGCTTTTCATTCAGTTTTAGGTTTAATGTCGTTTTAAAACGTTTCTTTGCATATAATAAAAAGAAAATTTGTTTAGTTTAGTGTAAGTTCGAAATATATTTCACCTTGTGAACACCAAAAGTTCATATTTCACTCGTGGCTGCGCCACTCGTGAAATATACCTTTTGGTGCTCACTCGGTGAAATATATTCCGATCTTACACTGAACTAGACAAATATCCTCTATTACTCTAATAATGTGCCTTGAATATTACGATACATTTTAAACAAATTAATTATCGATTAATAACTCACTATCGACTAAGCAAACTACGAAATGAGAGAACATATAACATATACTACTTAATTTAATTAAAGCATCAAAGTAAGTGGCTGTTTAACTTTCCCTCACCTCATTTTGTAAGATGATTTACAAAACTTTAAAGAAGTCATATATAGAGGATATTGAATGAGTGTAAGTTCAATACTGAATTTATTGCACGAGTTGAATAAAATTATATTATGCGAGCCTCTGGCGAGCATAATATCATTTTATTCAACGAGTGCAATAAATTCAGTAATGAACTTACACGAATTTAATATTCTATTTATCACATACCCAAAATAAAGACCGTTTAAAGTGAAATAAGAGTCATTTTTCATTGACGCGCCTATAGTTAAACGCTAACATTTCGCGCGTCTTTACACTATGTTTGTTAACGCTAATGACGTCACGTCAAAATATATGCACGGCCGTGCAATACCATATTTACGGAGTCACAAAATTGGCACGGATGTGTGATAAAAGATTTTTTTTAAAGAACGTTTGAAAAATAAGTTTGCACCTACATGTATTTTAATTTCTATGCACAAAAAGGAAGAAAAGAAAAAAAGAAAACTAAAATAAAGGAAGTGCAAAGTTTAGTGAACCTGTGTCATGGTAACTCGTGGGCGAGCATACATCGACCAGACAGACCTTCTTGTGTTGGCGTCCAATTGTGATCTAGCGTAGTGATGAACTCATATTCAAAGATAAATTTCCATAAAATCACGTTATGACTATTTCGGGAGCGAGGGTAAACAAACCAAACAAACACAATTTAGAAAAATTTGAAAAAAAATCGAGTAAAAGAGTAAAGGGAACAACATATAAAATATATACAGATAAATAAAGCATGTTTAAACAGCATAAGATTATGCCAAATATGGTTCATGAAATGCATTTAGATATAAAATTTAAATAAGATAATGAGAAACAAAATCCCTATAAAAAGCCCAACACGACAAAAAATGAAAACGTTGCAAGCTCGGTTTGATTGATACTGTTCATGGACGGTACTGGAAAGTGCAAATTACCGTCTACGACCCCTAGCACCGCTTAAGCAGAATTGAACATTTAAACACGAAATTGGTAAATTTTGAATTTAGAAACATCCGCAGATGTTTTAACTTAGACTTAAGATTTTGTTACAAGTATTTGTCAATTTGAAAAAAAACAACACTTTAAATAGCTATGAATAAGGCAGATCAAACAAGAGGTGTTGTTTTAAATAGATACACTCTCCAGCTTTTTTAGTAGGGATTGCGCTTGTTATTGAAAAAAAATTTTTTTTTAGACTTCTAACATTTGGCACTCTCTTCTACAATTGTCATACTTGTAAATGTTCCTTTTTGAATTCTTTTGAAAGTGCAGAACTTCCTTGTCCCAAATATCTTCTGCGTTACGCTTTGTCAATATTTTAATTTATATAGCTAGCCTATTTGTCTTAATTAAGATTATAAACACAATATGATGTTAAAGCGGACTTGACCACCGCGTCACTTAATGATTATCCTAAACGCACAGTAAATTTACATTTTTAGTGTTACGTACACTGCTAGTTATTTATAACAGAACTACTTGTGTAAAAGTAGTTCATTTACATATCATAGGTCAATTTATGTTATCTCAATGTAAACACATGAATACAAATTTAATATTCTCATGACTGTTTTTCTTATTCGGTGAAATACAAGAGAACAATTAAGTAACTGGTTTGACTCTTGGCATTCCGTAATTGTGAGGTACAAACGACAACTGCTTGTAGAAAGACTTTTGCAACCATCCTGTTCTTCCGTAATTAATCCCAAGGCATCTGGTCCAGAAACGTGATGTGCACATAAAAGATATCGTTATTTGTTTAGGGTTTAGGGTGATGATTACAACTTATAACACCATGCATTGAGAAAGCGACATACGAAATAAGGCAATCTCTGATGAACTGTGTATCTTAATAATCTACTGAACATACTATACTCGTACATATCATATACAAATACTAATCGTCATGGACTTGACTCCAATCTAGAGTACATATATACATTATATGATACATGTATAATTAAGATTTCAAAGTATCGGAAAATTACGTTGCTTGTTTGTATGACAGATGCCATATCCATTAAGACACATGTATAATTTAAATTTACCTTTGCTGTCATTATAATAAAGATATTAAATGATAATTTATCATTATCATCATGATTTATTTATTTCAGTCAGTCAGGCCAAGTGTGCAAGTTTGGCTGATCTTGTTTCGTCTTTCCACTTTGGAATACCTTTGCTCTTTGGGAAATTCATTTAAACCACGAAAACCTCAAAAACGAAGCCATGGTTTAATGGATAATGATTTTCCTTGTGATGAAAATGCCACTTTTTCCATTTTATAAAAATGATGATGATGATAAGTATTCATATCTAATTCGTATTCATGATTTCTTTTTTTCACATCTTTCGTTTTGTATGTGCGCTTTCAATTCTCAAAATTGTTTTAAAAAATTGGACGCAAAGTATACTATGTGCGTACGTGCATGCGTGTGTGCGTGTGTTTTTTTACACAAAAATTTCCATTCGACTTTTAGTTGAGATTTGTAATTATGGTATCAGCAAAGGTAATATGTCATGGACACTGGACCTTTGTTCAATCTTAACTATATTGTGTACTTGTAAACATATTGTTGAGCTTTAAACAAATACTTCTGTTACTGCTTCAAAGTTCAATTGTGCCAAAAACCATTCTTACAAATAATTGTTTTGTACACTACGTTTATGTCTGACTTTATTGATGAAAGCAATCCATCGCGTTAAAACTTATAACTATATAGGTTAACAGTTGAAATAAAGTTAACGGTTTTGTCTATAAGAAACAATAGATGCGATTACAATGTATAAAGATTCACAGTTGCTTTGTTCCTATATTATTTGGGATGACCAAAAATGGCTATTGAATAAAGATAAAAAAGGAGAAAATCATAAGAATTCTGAGACGATTGCTTTTTAATTATTGTCTATTGTTTAAACGAAATCTTGAAAAACTACTTTAAAACAAACTTTCAAATCCGTCCAAATATTTTCTATTAATAAAACAACGAGAATGATTGTAAAGCCGAGTTCTTACATTTGCTTTCATCTCCATTGCTCTATATAATATATCTTTTGAAAGCTTTTGGCGCTTGCCAATTTTCGTTGACAAAAAAATAAAATAAAAATGTAGCTCTAGTTCACTGTCTTCACATTTCATTTCCCACTCTTGTTTGCTGAAACAATTTATATACTAGCTAGCTTAAGCTTTTAAATCCACTTGAATTTCTTTTGTGTCATTCCGTTTTTCGCATCTTGCGGCCATTGGTAGCGTGAGAATCAACAATCCACCGACAATCACCAATGTTGATATCAACAACATTCCAGGTATGTAGGTTTTAAAATTGTCTCTCATCATACCTGTGAAAGAAATGGTATACATGAATATAGGTAAATGGTATACATGTAAATAGTAAAAATAGTAACATCATTAGATATTTTGACGAACATGTTCTTAAATTCATGCAGTATTTGTAATTGATAAAAGAGAATGACTACTTATTAATTTATTAAATCAAAGTTTAAATGTTACTGAAGGTGGATATAGCTCCGAATATGATGTACATAAATATAAATATCTAGTTTTTTTTAAAAGAACAATGTAAGACACTAAAAAAAGAATGTAAATTCTCTTTCCTATACTTGGAATACCGTCGATCTAAGTATGGCCGTTTCCTGCATATGACGTTGTTTGGCATGACTGACGGCGCATAGTTCAAGTTGTTGTCCGATTTGAAATTCATTAATTTTAACCATTTGAATTTACAAATGCCCTTTTATGGCAACCAAATATTCTTTACATTCTTAATCAAATCCATACAGTATATTTATAATAAGATATCATATATAAATTTAAGATATGAAGATAACCTATGATTGGTTGCATGATGGCAGATGTTCCTGTCTGTGCTAGACTCAAAATACCAAGGGCGCTTCGCAAATTCTCTATACCAATAAAGTCTACCAGAACAACAGGGAAAAGACTGAAATACACACGTCCAAATATACCGAAAATAACACTGTATATAAAAAATTCAGTACGAGTTTCGAACAATGGTGTGAAACAAGAGGCAATGCCGACCGTGACAACCGCAAAGGATAATATTTTGTGCCTTTGAATATAGTTTCTGTCTGCGAATATACCCCAGAATACAATCGTGCACATATCGGTGATGCTTATGATAGTTATTAGGAGTCCACATTCTTTGGATGAAAGTCCTGTGTCTTTGGCAAATGCTGGTAAATAAATCGAAATAGATGAAACAGTCACTATGAAACATGCGCAAGGAATAAAGAACAGGAACGATATTCTTTTCATCGCTCGGCAGTCAATAACAGAACCAAGATTCGGGCAGAATTTCCTAAAACAGGCATATGAAGTTTTGTTAACTGTCTGACTGTTTTGGTTCTGCTCTCGTTTCATGGAACTCAGATCTAACATCGAAGAGAACGCAAGTTCCGTACTTGCATAAAGTCCAATGTTGGAATTGTTCAAGGCTGAAATAGCACTTCCCACTCTGTGTGAAAGACTTATTCTGCTTATCTCTGAAATAGTACGTTTCCTTTTTACAGTCTTGCGGGGCGAAAATGGAGAATTAGTATTTGCAATTAATGGCGACGCAGCTTTTTGTATGTTATGTCCATTTTGGTGATTACTGTTATATCCGATTTTCGTAACTGTTTTCTTTAAGCTATTCGTCTGTCTGAGAGTGCCATTAACTTTCTGTTTATTAATTTCATTGAGATTTTTCTCTCCGTTTTTCATTTCATCCTCACTATCCTTGTGGTTAACATGTTGCCGCCTTTGTTTAGAATAAAATGATATCGGGCGCATCAGCAGCCCCGATACAGTCATCTGTAGCATAAAACCGCCGAGCAATAGGACAGTACCAGGAAAGGCATATTCTTCTATCCAAATCGGGATCAGTACCGAGAAAGCAAGGGAGCCCACACTAGCGCCCATATTACTAATGCAGTTAGCGATGCTACGATACTTTTCAAAATATTCACCTATGAGTGCCATTGTTGGAGTGAGTATCATACCCTGAGAAATTCCTGAAAAAAACAACAACAACACTTGAAGAATCATCCTTTGATCAATTTAAATGTACATCGACAAAGATAAAGTTATGCAAAGGTTCACTTTGATAGATTTTAGACAAAGATAAAGTCACACTTTGAAGTATGGGAAAAAACTGAATACTATGTACATAAGATGTTATCGGGCATTTGTGCAGAATCACCGAGTTAAAAATATTTTTGATGGGATTTGAAACTACAATACATGTAATCAAGTGATGTAGAAACACATATTGATCGAAGGTCTGTTGAATTATTTCTGTGCCATACTTCGAATATGAAATGAAACAAATTAACACGGTTATGAGAGTTTTCAAACTAACCTCCAAACTGAGGCATACCAAACTTTGCAGGACAATATATTGGCAGAAATCGCAGAAAGTCAAAACGACTGCCAATCAAATAATTTTTATTATCGTTACAGTCTAGATCGAGCTACCCTTATTTATATCCTGGCAATCAAATTTCAAGAATAATGGTATAAAACTGATTGAAATAATAGATCTTTGAAGTGCATCATTTATCCTTAATGACCATAACAATCTTATGCTATATCAATTACAAAATAAATACTTACCACAAACACAGCCTAATAGTAATATCAGTATTTCTACATTTGGTGCAAATGCTGACAAAGCATATGCTAATGTCATTATTATCCCACCTAAAACTATAAACTGTCTGCTACTGAAGTATTGCAAACCAATCGTAGTCACAAGTAAAGCTGAAATATCGTTAAGAATATACAGTATTTTGTCATAAATAGGACAAACAAGTAAAATAGACAATAAAAATAATGCTGCGTTTGATAAATACTTTGAGATACTTTAACTTATAAATACCATGTAAATTATCAATAATCAATACAAATGAGGTACAACAAATAAGCCTACGATGAAAATGTGACTTGATGTCAACGTCCTTGGTAAAAATGTTTATAGTTTTGGACACTTCAATATATCTGGCGACCTAACTATTATCCATATCAGTTAGAGGTTCAATTAAACTATTTTATTAAAATTTGATTCTTTAAGTTAGATCTTCATGATTGCACTGTAACTTTGTAAATGAAATGAACTAGAAGAAGTCGATCAAAGACTTAGCTTGCATTTAATAACATTTATTCAATTGTTCTGTAAACGCCATTAGATAGAAGACAATTGCACCATGCCGCTGGAAATTTAAATGTAAAATAATGTTGAGCTATATATAATATCAATAAATCTAGATGAAATATTATGCGGTGATTCAAATGAAGTGATAAAGGCACATAAAGTCCCATTATTTTTATTTCTTTTTAGTGTATGTCCAAACGTTTCCCATAAGTTATATACCTGGACCATATTTTGCTTTTTTGATTTTTATTTCATTTAGTGCTCATATAGGAACTAAGTATTTTGAATAGAAGTCAAAATCCCTACTTGTTTACATTTTGCTACTTATATAACAACTTTTACATATTAAGTGCTACTTTCTTCCAATGATAAGCATTTAAGAGTCTCTAAATCCAAAATTTTAAATATACAAAACACACGTTTCCATTCTGCAGCTTTATGTGCCTTCTACAAAAACTATCCGAAATAGTTTCTGATAGTTATTTTGTAAGTGCATTATTAATTTGCAAAATTTCGGACGTTTTTTTTTCGAATTGGAACATAATAATAAAGAAAATTAATTCTGCCCAGGGCTTAATTCAATAACTTACTTAGCTAAAATAGAGAAAAACAGAATCCGCAAAGAATGTCCAAAACGACAAAATTGAAAATGTTGCAGGCTCGGTTTGATTGAGCCTTACTGTTAAGTGCAAGCTACTGTCCATGCCCCCTAGCACCGACCGGCTTAAGCAGTATTCAACATTCAAACATGAAAATGATCATATTTGGAATTTAGAAACATTGCAGATTTGCTCATCAGTTTTGTTTAATTAAAAAAATCTCGATCCTCCTATCCTCACCCAACATCTGATAGAAGCTACATGTACGTGGCAAGTTTAGTAAAAAAAAAAATCTGGAAAAGGGGAAACATTATCATAAATGATAATAAGTAACGCAGATCATTCAAAATTTTCGATGCATGCTACATTTATACATATGCCGGTCAATATAAAATGTTAACCCGTTACTAAAAATATGTCACTTTGATAGGTACAAAATGCAATAACTCACCAAATAGTACAACCCAAGCCCATCCTCTATCCACGGGAACACCGTTTTGTTTTGAAGAGTCTTGTAAAGCACCCTCGTCTTCGTTTGCCACTGTCAGACTAACAGTAACGTCACCAGAGAGTGGTTCCTCATTAAATTTCTCTCGATCACTTTTATTGAAAAGTGAACCTTGTTTCGTCATTTTGTTTTCATTTATTTATTTTTTAAACAAGTGTATTATTTTGTAATCATCCGCTTATTTATTCTTCAACTAAATTTCAATTTGACTAAACATGGATAGAGATATCCTTGATTAATTTATTGCAAATGTTATCTGACTATTAAGCATTGTGACTTTGAAGCAATAAGTTTAGTTATAATATATTTTTATATTATTTTACAAGTGTAAAAAGCAACGGTCAAGTACTATCAAGTCCTTTAATTGCATACGATGGGTTTAATGACTGATTATGACCGTCATGTTAATGTATATATCATTGTTACTCATGCATCGGGAATACATCACTTTATCTTAGTCCTATGTACTCAATTAATGTATACATATATATGAACTTAAAATTCATGAAAACTGTGTTTAAAGTTTATGGCCGGTCACAATAATATTCATCTTCTGTCAAGTAAACTATCAATTTTGATTTCAGTGGAACGTTTATCAATTAGAACATTATATGGCTAGAACATTCTTATAACTCGGACAAAATTTACTTGAACTGATACAATTTTACCGCGGTATTTTAATATATTTATCCGTGAATCATTGATAAATCCAATGCCAATGAAGATATTGGCGCTACTAATGCCCCTGCTGCTGCTGCTGCTGCTGCTGCTGATGATGATGATGATGATGATGATGCTCACATCGATGACAATAATTGTACTGGCACTGTCACTGCTACTATTTCTGTGCAGGCTGTTGATGATACAGATATTTACCGATGATGCTCTAGCAGGAGGTTGGTTCTCCATCATTTTGAGCTGGATCCACGTTTTCATCACTGGAATTTATTTCTACACCTCCAGTAAACTTAATATTTTCAATGTACGTGCACGTATTTAATGGGCTGGTCCTTTAAAACATTGTCCAATCGCCTTACAAAAGAGTGTATAAACAGTCTTAGCTGATATTACACTTTCTGGTAGTCTGTTTCAGTTGTCCACTATTCTGTAGCAAAATGATTATTTCCATACGTTCAGGTTAGATTGTTTCTTGAAGAGTTTGTATAGTCGTACCAAGTTGTACCGTCAAATAAGTTCGACACTGCTGGGTCATATTTACCAATCTTCTATGAGATATTCCCACCTTCTTTTATAAACAAGAGTAGGCAACTTCAATTCCCTCAGTCTATCTTTATATGACAATTTAGATACGTCGATATAGTCCTGGTACTTGTTTTGAAGCTCCTCTTTTCACATGTTCTGATTTCTTTATTTGACGGTTACAAACTGGATTTGCGTACTCTAAATGTGGTCTTACTAATGATATTAAAAGTGTTTTTGAACGTCTTCTTATCTAAATATTCAAAAGTTCTTCTAATGAATCCTACAACTGAATTGGACTGATTTACTTTTTCATTTAAATGATTCTCAAAATTTAATTTACCATCAATATCTTTCCCTTCATTTAAATTTTTATCTAATTAATGTTCCCATTCACTTATCTTAGAACTACCAATTCACATTATTTTACAATACTTTACATTTGTTTAACTTCCACTTGCCTGACCATTCTATCATAATTATCTGCTTGGAGCATTTCACACTCGTTATTGTGATTCAAAGTGGTTATAATAATTTTATATTGCACTTTTTGACACTTTTAACATTGGATCTTACGTTGTATAAAAGGAATTTTTGAAAAAGTTTTACATGTAGAGATCTTATTTAATTAACTTCTGTAAGATCTATAGTTATATAGAAAATCTAGATTTTCTATTTATGTTTAAGACTTTTTCTTTGTTTCTTTAATTTACACACCGACGCCAAAAGTTGAAGTTATTATTATACCCTGTAAACAAATATTTTGGTAATATTCATCATATTGTGTTCATGATTTTCAAACAGTAACTTTAGGCGCCAAAGTAAGGCACGAGTGACGATCCTACAGTGACAAATTATTTATCAAAAATATATTAGACCATATCTAAATATTTTCATGCGGAATGCATCGGCTTCGTCCATTGATGTACAGCTGTAACGAAGGGCGCCAAGCCTGCATAAAAACTTAGTTTAAAGAAACAATTAGCCCATCTTCCCTCTTTATTATGTATTGATATTAACTTTTCTTCATTTAACTACAAAGGCACTAAGTGCGTTCGTAATTGGTCTGTCAAAGTGAGCTGGAATTGCCCATGTTCAGGTCCGTTCTTGTTTCGTTTTTATCAAGTGGGTGGGGTAATGACATAAAACTGCAATCTCCCCTTTGTATATTTCAGAAGTAGAACTGTATGTAATACACTAAAGAAAACAGAGTGAACCTTATATATTATACTCCTTGGTTAAATGCAGTTGTCTTGCTATAGCCTCGAATGAAATTGCAATTTTCATAACGTTTACTTTCATGCAAAAAATCTTTTACCTCAGAATTTTAGAACTTGTCAAGAGAAATAATTCAGTGTCACTGTGATGTAAATGACGTCACTTTTAGATATTATTGTTTCGGGGCAAAGCAACGTCATATAGAAACTGCTCAAAAACCCATTGCAAGTTCCGTAAGAAAATCTTAGCGTATATTTATATAATTTACATAATTTTGACCTATTTGTGACCAAAAGTAAAAATAAATAGAGTGAGTTCGGGTATGAGTGGACACTTAAGCATTAATTTCAACACAGTTGTTGTATATTATAATTTCACCAAAATGATGTTAGTATAATGTAGTGAGTTCATTTGGCGTCGGTATTTATTGGACCGGAGCTAGCCAAATGACCGTTTATATGTAATGTATTTATACACATACAGTTGGGACTTACTAAACCATTCTGCTGAAACTGAACACCTGGTCGGGCATTAGTGGACTTTTTTGGAGTTGAATAAAAACAACAATATACAAGTAACTGCAGGTCAATTTATTATTTGTATCATTTCATAATAAATTAAAAACTGATAAAAATTTCATTACAGTAGTTTTTAAAAATGGTGATACATTAGAATTTATCACCGAAAACACTAATAATGTATCGAAACATCAAACAGCTCAAAAGCTATATTTTTAATTAACAGAGTGATTTCATAAATAAAATAACATTCTATCAATCAAAGTACTGCCAGACTTAAAGGAATAAGAATGGATGGATTGATGTCTGTCTAATATAAATATTCATCATTTAAAAAGAGGATCCATGACAGTTTTCCTATTGACATCAACCATATAAGAGAGAAATTCGTGTTTAAAAACACCATTTTTACTTGAGAAATAAGTTCATGGGCGCCGCCATTTTGGCGTTCTGTCATTCTCGCGAGACAGACGAGACCGAGATTGTGACGTGTTATACCCACTTCCGGTATAGGTGTACACGCTGGTACAACTGAAATATATCTTGATGAAGAACTTATTAATTTAATTGCGTACATTATATATTATTTATGAAAACATCATATGGAACTGAAATGCTTTAATTAATTAATTGAAGACGCTGCGACATTAATTATCATTTGTCCGATATTCAAGCTTGCTGATGATCCAACCACATGATTTAAGCAATGACTGCTTAATTTTCAAAGATAAACCATAAATTTACATTGGGTACTATGAGAAACTTCTTCAAATTGACGATATATCTTTTTATTTTGTACTTAATTTTCGCTAGACAAGCTGTTCAAATAGGGTACATCGCCGGTCATGTATTTTTTTTCAGGTAAAATATCAACTAAATCCAATATGCTGAGGACCCGATTTTCCGCCATTGACGCTAAAAATGAGAAAGGCGCAGGAAAATCGGCAGCCAGACTTATATCGTATGAAAACAAAACTGTCCGTAAAGTTATTTAGGCACCCAGTCAAAACTGGTACCAACAGCTAGGTTGCCCATTCCCCTATAATTACGCATATTCTCGGGTTTATCCAGTTCCCCAAAGCTTTTTTCCACGTTATCTACTTACCAAATTCCTTTCCCCGACAGATACGCATTTCTACTACCGTAAATTTAATCCAATAAAACAAAAAATCATAAATCTACTTAATGTTTAAAAATGATTATTGGTAACTGAAAAATAATGTGTTGCTATTTTATGACGTGCTGTAATTTACTACAGTATAATTTGACAGGTTTGGAACCGATTTCCCCCTAAGGTCATTCAGTTCACTGATGAAGCGTAAAAAAATAGATGTCTATTTCGTCATTATAATATTTGGCAAGGGTGATTAACCAATTAGGGCAACATTGTGAATGATCAAAAGGTCTGCCGGCACAGAGGCATACAAGGGCCAATAAAAATCGTCAGTACACAGTATGACAGGAGCATTTGGTGCAAATTAGGAACAATTAAAATGGACAATGCGCAATATTAGACATAAGTAGTAAGAACCAGCAATTGTGTGAATAAATTATGCAAATTAGATTTTTGAGCAGCCAATAAAAATGATTTGCCTGCAGTTAATATTAGGCTACGATTACGATGCGCAGCATCATACTTTGACAGACATGTTAACAATTTACTTTTCAAAAGAGTTGCTTATATTTTTGAAATGTGTACATCAATTATAACATATGTTGACACCTTTAAATTTGAAAGTCAGAATCAAACTGCAAAAAATTAATTATATGTACTATTAAAAACACGTTTTAGTAGGGTTTTTATAATGGAAGTGGCTAGCGCACGGGCCCGTACGGCTAGCCAAAAGTCTAAGCCGTACGTGAGTCACGTACGACTAGCAAGGACACGCTGTATTGGCTAGCCGTACGGCACTTTTCAAAATTTTATGGAAGTCGAAAATGCATATGTTATTTTATGACTTTAAGCGAGGATTTTAACCAAGAAACAGCATTAATTGTCTTTGGATGTTAACTTTTTAGAGATTAATCGCCTTGATCGCTATATATATCGATCTTTGTCATCGCAAGATGTCGAGAAAAAATAGCCTTTGCTTGCATTTACACCAATTGAAATAGTTTACAAATTTTTGATTATATATAATCCTTTTTTGTTTCATTAAGTTGAATTTTGGACACCTTTTATATGAAAAAAAAAACAACAAAAAACAAACACTGAAAATGATTGTTGTTAGGCTCTTGATAATTGCGACAATTACCGACGGTACTGTATCAAGGAAAGTTTGCATGTTACGTGAAAGGCATTCTAAAATTCTATTGTCAGTCCCTAGATAGGTTTTAATTAAGGCTAATTAATTGATTGACTGTGCTTTTATGTTCGATATTTATCTACTGTTTTGAAAATTATATAATCATTTTTGCATTTCACCGTTTTTTTCCATTCAATGTTCTTTTTATTTATTTACTCCACTCCGATCATTTTTTATTCGATCCATGTGCTAAAAATAAAATAAAAACAAAAATGATTTAATAATTCATACAAATTAAACAACAAATGATAAGCATGTAAATCAACAATTTTATAACGTTCGACTTCCATATAATTTTGAAAATTGCCGTACGGCTAGACAATACAGTGCGTCCTGGCTAGTCGTTCGTGACTCACGTACGGCTAGAACTTTTGGCTAGCCGTACATTTCTTTATTTTTTATTATATTTTTTTTTTTTTGATATTGTTACGTATTTTGAACCATAAAAAATCTCCTCTACACCTCCTGTGAAAATTAAATTGTCTGATCAATACTTTATTATATTGATATTTCCTTACGATTCAACTAGATTTATCATGAATCTAAAGATGTGGGGAAATGACATCACGCGCACCTGTTTTTATACGGCCAATACACAAACATGGCCGCGCTTACCGATTTGTAGAAATCGGTGATTTAGCGATTTAAATTTTGTTATCATTCGTTTAATATTATTATTTGGCGGCAGAAAATTTGCAGACTTATTATTTATAGTATTCTTTTTCTGAAATCAAGTTTTTATTCTAACCTTGTTTTTCCCTTTAACAATTAACAATAGTCACACTGGATGTGTAAATCAGCTAGTTCCAAGTAGCTTATTGAGATCATATCAATGGTAATAACACAAGCCCTGTGTAACCATCTTTGGCAGTTATAAATAACATGACTCCAAGTTCTGGTATTCCCAAATGAAATCAACAACCACATGTGTAACATTTAGTGTCCGTAATATTGAAATCTTCATGTTGAAATGCATCATCATGACAGATAAAACAGTTGATGGACAGGGATTTTAAGTAATTCTAGTTTCGAGCTTGTTGGACAAACAACTTAATTGAATTTAAATCGAACCACTTTTTATATGCCCAAAAGAATTTCGGGCATATTATGTTATACCCCCTGGCGTCTGTCCGTCCGTCTGTCTCTCCGAGCCAACATTTGATTATTATGAGCTTCATTCCGTAGTTAAATAAAGAACATAAACTCATAAAATTTAAAATTAAAAGCTATTTTTTGTTTTTATGAGATTATTTTGCTTATGGACGTTGGTCCAGGTGGTGTTTATGAGCTCATTTGCCTCATAAACATCAAATTTTGGTACGTCCGTCCGTCCGTTAGCAATTTGGTTTCCGGAGCATAACTTAAGTTCCATTTGGCCCACAACATTCAAACTTCATAGGATGATTGCCCATATTGGGTAGGAGACCCCTATTGATTTTGGGGTCACAAGGTCAAAGGTCAAGGTCACTATTACTTTAAAACTGAAAACAGTTTCCGGAGCATAACTTAAGGTCTATTTGGCCCACAATATTCAAACTTCATAGGATGATTGTCCATATTGGGTAGAATACCCCTATTGATTTTGGGGTCACAAGGTCAAAGGTCAAGGTCACTATTACTTTAAAACTGAAAACAGTTTCCGGAGCATAACTTAATTTCCATTTGGCCCACAATATTCAAACTTTATAGGAGGATTGCTATTGGAAGGAGGTAATACTTTATTTAATTTATATAATGTCTTACAAATGCTTCATCCTTAATATAAAAAAAAACACTTTCGGGCATATAATGCTCCGCCTAGCGGTGCTCTTGTTACTATATCAACGGCATGCTGCAACTTTTCATCTTTAATAGTATTGTTTCAGTAAATTAAATTGTATAAATATAGACCATATAAATATTCCATAATCTATGTTGCTTCTTAAAGTTGATAAAAGATCTTTAGTAAGGTTGCTATGTTTAACAATTCTTCCTCTAAATCTGACATTAAGATTTTGTAATAACTAATGACACCCTACTAGTCATAATCATTAACAAGCACTATTCAAAGCAATATGATTTTAATGTAGATGAAATAAGTAAATTAATCGTTTGAAAACTGAAGAACTAGATGAAAATAAAATGGAAATAAGGGTTAAAGTGTTATATGTAAAAAGCTGATGATAAAAAATGTAATGAATTATTTAAGATCTTAACTATTCACAAAGCTTGTAACTGAAATAGACAATAATTGTTTTGGTGCTCTTGATCGTTTTCAGTGTTATAAGATTTTTGCCTCTGATTTTGTGAACATTTTTTGTAACATTAATTGTTTTATATTTTCAGGTAGGATAATGTGACGACAGCTTCAAGCAGTAAGATGGCTCTGAAACCAGTTCTCAAGTTAAAGGTGGATGAGTTGTTTCTGAGATGGCTGAGCGACTCGGAAACCCAGACGATGTTGAGAGAAAACCTGCGACAGTTGTTGCATGGCGAACCTCTCACTGCTACCTACCCGGGAGCTTCAGGCTCTAAGGGAGGTAACAAGGCTCAGTCACCAAGAGTTAGGCCAGGATCACCACCCTTGTCTTCAAGTAAATTACCTAGTCCTAGAAGTCCAAGACGACCCTTAACAACCAAAAACAACCACAGGGGTGTGAATGGAAATTCAAAGGTAAGTTGTAACCTGAATTATGAATTTAAAAAAGTATGTATTGTACTTTTATTTCACTATGTGGAGTCTAGTGGGGTTATGTTTTACACCCTGGTGATTGCATAACATTTGGTTTAGATTTGCCATTCAGTTTTGAACAGTTTAAAAAGATCTTTAACTATAGGACCCGATTTTAACTGAATTTATTCCATTTGTGAACTAAAAACATAAAAAAAAATCCTAGCTCCAGTTTTACTATCAAGCACAAACAATGTTTTAGCAAGAGAAATGGTTTTGTTTTCAGGTTTTTCAAATTTAAAAGAAAAATTTTTCATAAAAGTTTTTTTATGCTTTTTTGTTTGATATGCCAAATTTAAATGTTTTGGGGGAAAAAATGTCAACTTTTTAAAAAACGAAAATTTTTATTACATTGTATTTATTTCATTTCTTTTCATTCTTTTCATTCTTTTCCCATTCTTTTTCATTCTTTTCATTCTTTTCCCTTTCATTCATTCTTTCATTTCTTTTTCTTCATTTTCTTTTCTTTCATTCTTTTTGTGTACCACTGTTGAGTACATGTGTAATTTTATGAGATTACAGTATTCACTGTAAAATAAATAGTAAATCAAGAGAGGTAACACATTAATACAAGTTGTCAAGAATAAATTGAATTACTTCCCTTATATCACTGCTGAAATGAAAGCTGAAGACTTTATATTGAGGAAGTTCAATACAAGAATGACTAGAGGTCACACAGGTACATCAAAATTAAATTGTAGCCCCAGCCTTTCCTTATTCCATCAATGAACTTTTAACATCCTGCCTAATTATAACAGAGTACAACATCAAAAGAAAGATGGTTCCAAGAGAGAAGGAAAAGATTAAATGATTTCCAGATATTGGATTTGGTTTTTTTTAAGTCAGAAGTTTACCTTCACAGGTTTGTTGACTGGTGTTTGTTTAGGAAATTAGCCTGTGAAATATTTTGAGGAAAAGAGAGAAACCCTGTATAACAAGTTACTTGTGATTTTATTATTATTTAGGGACATTTCTTTCACATTGTGCAACTTCAGTCTTTTGAAATACCAAAAAATTCTTGATATTAAAGAAATATGGCATGAGTGGTAAATTGTAGTGTTGCCCCTTTTTGGAGATCATTCTTTTGTCTGGTCATCTCTTGGCAGAAAGCTTGCACCCTTAAAATGCTGAATATGTGTAATAGATATGTCCATCTTTGAATTTAGAGCAGTCCATTCAATTTCAAAATATAGAAAATTTAGCTAACTACACTATAAGGCCTTAAAGGCCAGGTCAGACTGCAGGGGAGTGCTCCTTTATTCTTGCACACATCATATGTTTCATTTTGACATATCAAAATACTGTGTGATGTTGACCCTTAAATTATCTTGACCTTCATGATCAGTTTTGTCAAAATTTAAGAAATTTTTTGAGAAAAATTTTGGATAGGAGCACTGGTTTTATTGGAAACACCATGTATGAGTACTTTGTCCTTTTGCCAAATATACCCAAACACCATTCTAGTAACAACCTGATTTAATAGTCATTTTGGCAGCAAATCAAACCTAGATTTTGGTTGAGCAGAACTGAAAAATTAGACAAAAAAATAAGAAAACAAGTATGAACAGAATTGATG